GGGGAGGCCGGGGCGGCGGGCGGCGGCGGGGAGCGGGGCGGCCGCGGGTGACCCGCCGCCCCGCCCCCCGCCCCGGCGCGGCCCTGAAGGTCAGGAGGTGCTTTGTTCCCGCGTGGCGGTCCGCCCGGCCGGCCCGCGTCGTGACCCCGAGGGGAGCGGCGGCCGCGGGCCCCCTTTGTTTCCGGGGCGCCGGGCTGTGCCTGCGGGAAGCCGCCCTGCGGGGTCGGCGCCCGCGTCTGTCCTGGAGCTCGGAGACGCCGGCGGCGCCCACGGCGGTGCGTTTCCGCGGACGGCCCGGGGCCGCTTTCCCGAGCGCGCCCGCTGCTGCGCGCCGGCGGAGGGCCGTGTGGCGGCGACGAGACCCGCCCGTCTGCGGGGTGGGGGGCGGGGTCCCCGGGACGTGCGGCTGCGGGTGTGCGCCGCCGCCGTGCGGCCGAGGGGGGGGCGCGGCTCGCACGTGCGACCCGGTGCCTGCCGTCCCGGCCCCCGCTCGGAGGCCCCGGGCGCTGGCCCGCCGGCGATAGGGCCGGTCCGAGGCGGCGCCGCTCGCGTGAAGCTGGCCCGGCGCTCCCGCGGCCGCGAGGAGGGGGAAGTTCCGCGGGGTCGGCTCGGTCCCGCCCGGGAGGGGTTGGGCCCGGCCACCGCGTCCCGCTGCGGTCTCTGGGCCCCTCCCGAGCGCTGGGTGCGTCCGGCAGTGGAGTCTGCGGACCGTTCCAGCCGGCGGTGCGGGAGGCCGCGGGCTTCCCGGGGGGCCTGGCCAAAGCCGGCTGGAGGCGGGAGGCCGGGCCGGTGAAGCGGCCGGCGCGTGCGGGTCTCCGCGTCCCAGTTGGTGCCGCGCACTGCTCGGGCCGAGGGAGGCTCCTGCTTTCGCGGCTGGGATGGCGGATCCCGGCGCGGTCTCAGAGGGTCGCTGGAGCGGAGGCCGGTCAGTAGGAGCGCTGGCGGCGGAGTCCGCTGCCCAGCACGTTGCGGGGACAGAGGGACCCGCGGCTGCGTCGCTTCGGGTTGTGGCTGGAGTCGTGGGGCCCTTCTGGCCTGCTGAGGGCCGGCGCCCTCCCAGCCTTCGTGTCTGGCCACGCGCGGCCGGGTGCTGCCCCAGCGGGCACAAAGCAGCGTGCGGGCGCTCGCGTGGGCTTGGCACTGTGTGTGCACAGCAGCGGCGGTGGTCGGCGGGGCGGGGCCGAGCGGACCTGTGCGCTGGGCTGGTCGCGCGGCTCGCGGCTCTGTGCTGCCGTGCGGACCACCCGCCTCTCTGTGCTGTCCTGGGTGCGGACGTGTTTGCCTGTGGGGCCGCTGGCTGCCCGCGTGGAGGAAGGGCCCCAGCCGGCGTGGTGGTCAGTGCCGCGTGTGACTTCCTCCCGCAGCGGATAGGGACAGCGTCCCGCCCGCCTGTCGGGCTCCAGCAGCCCTTGGCGCCGGCGCACGTCCGTGCCCTGAGTGCTGAGCAGCCAGGGCTGGGGCTCACGTCCTCGGGCTTGTCTCCTCTGCGGCGGCCGGTCGCGCTGTCGTGTCCGGTGGAGGTGGCTGCGGACGGGGAGGGTCAGGCCACGGGCGGGCTTAGGATCACTTGGTTTCGGAGGTTTTTTCTTGCTTCCTCTTCGTTGTCCACAGTTTTAAAATGGCTTAAGACTGTTTCCAGAAGCTTGTGTTGTGCTGCCACAGGTCTTGCCAGAAAACCTGACCGCGTTTGGCTGGGAACGGTAGTTCCGGTGTCTGTGGGCCGGAGCGTGCTCGGTGAGACGGGCGGAGCCGCCGAGTGCCGAGGCCGTGGGGAGGCCTGAGGGCTCCGTCTGGAACTGCCGCCTCAGAGGCGCTCACGAAGCAGGAAGCGTGTTCGGGCGTCCGCGGCACAGGGTAGTGACCACGCAGCGTGGCCGCTCCGCCTCGGGGACGGGTCCTCGCAGCGCGTGGCTGTCTGCCGGCCTTCCCTGCGTCGTGTGGTCTCTCCCGGGTTGGCAAGTCCCCGCGTGCCCAGGCCGTGTCCTTACCCCGTGGCAGAGCCTTGGCAGTGGGCAGTGGGCAGACTGCAGCGGACCGCAGTGACACGTGTGTTCGCCACAGCCGCTGGGGCTGCCCCTGCTGTCTGGGAAGGCGGGGCCGCTGTCCTTCGCCGTTTGATGTGAGCTTCCCGAGCAGCCGGAGGCGGGAGAGCTGGTGTGTTTCTGCAGCAAGACCGCTGTGAGCCCGCGGTGGCCGGTGCTGCTGGGTCACCGCTGTGTCGCCTTCCGTCTCCTCTCAGCAGCGCACTCCACGGCTGTTGAAACGGAACGTGCTTCCGTTCTGGGCTCGCGACCTCTGTCCGCACGGTGCGGTCCGGCGTTATCTGGAAGATGAGACGATTTCCATCAGGTTTGGGGTAGGGAGGTCGACGGACGCCTCAGACGTTTGCGTGTGGCGGTCAGGAAGCGCAGCTGTAAGGAGTAACTTTCCGCCGTCGCTCTGCGCAGGGAAACAGCTCTCGGAGCCGCGTCGGTGCATCTGTGTGTCCGTTGCTTCGCGCGCCTCCGTCTGTGCCGCGCTCGGTTCCAGGTCCCGGGGCACCGCGGCGAGCAAAGCGAAGAGCCTGCCTCCGTGATGTCCGTAGCGGGGGACAGAGACAGCTGAGGTTGCGGCAGGTGCTCTGGAGAAGAAAGGTGGAGGAGTAAGGACTAGGGTGGGCGTGATTTTTTGAAAAGATTTTATTTAGCGAGAGAGCGGGAGGGAGGGACTCTCACGCGGACGCCGTCCCGGGTGCGGAGCCGCGTGCGGGGCTCCATCTCAGGACCCCGAGATCGCGACCTGAGCCGAAGGGGACGCTTACCCGACGGAGCCCCCCACGCGCCCCAGTTGTGGTTTTTAGGTGGGGCGAAGAGGGGAGATCTCAGAGCGGCCGGACTTTGAAACGCCGGAGTGAGGGAAACTTGGAGACGTCGGCCTCGTTGAGTCTGCACTAGTGAGCTGCGGAGGAGACGGGGAGAACCTGGGCTTGCAGCAGCCCGGAGCCCCTCTGCCTGAGGAGAAACCAAGCGTCTGCTCAAGGAAGGGAACTCGGTTTTGTGTTTTCTTCTGGAGAACCGAGGGCTTGGTGTCTTGCCAGCTTCTGAAGAGGCGGTTGGTTTGCCGTTGTCTGGTGGCCCTTCGAGCTTGCAGGCTCGCCTGACTTCCTCCGGGGGTTCAGACGCTCCGCGGGAGAGACGCGGGTGTGGGGGGCGCCCTCACGCGGCTCAGGGGCACGCAGGGACCCCTCAGCTGCGAGTGACAAGCAGACCGTCTGGCCGCTGGGTCCTGCGCTGGCTCCGGCGGTCGCTCACTGTCCCCGTGGGACTTGTCCTTCGGTGGGAGACAGGCGTGCGTTGTCGATCCATCCTTCGGAAGATGCAACGAAGCAGTAACGCACGCGCGGAGGTACCGATGCCCTGCGTCCTAGCGCCTGCCTGTAGTGCCGCGCTGTTTGCCTGTCTTGGTTCACCTGTAAACAAACATACGCTTTTTTATTTTACTGTTTTAAAGATTGATTGGAGAGAGCGACAGCCATGCCAGTCGGGGAGGGGGACAGAGGGAGAGAATCTCCAAGCTGCCTCCTGAGACCTGGCGCTCCGTCTCACTACCCATGAGATCGTGACCTGTGCCGGAACCAAGAGTCGGACGGACACTCCATCCGTGAAGCGACGGCCTTTGGCTCAGGTCGTGATCCCAGGGTGCCGGGATCGAGCCCTGCGTCTAGCTCCCGGCTCAGCCGGAAGTCGTCTTCCTCCTTTCCCACTCACCCTGGTGGTTTTCCCTCGCTTGCTTTGTCTCTGTCAAATAAATAAAATCTTTTAAAAAAAAAATGTTTTTTCACAAATGTCCAAAAGAAAAGGAAAAACATATATTATCAGTTACTATATACAGTTGAAATCAGTTTGAATCCAGCTTCAAGACTGTCTTTAGGAGCTTAGGACCCGGGCGGTCTCTTTGCTGAGAGTGAGGCATAGTGAGCAAGGACACTCCCCTTACTGGAGAAACTTACGTAAGTGTTTTGGTTGTTTGCGATAGACGTGTCTTCACGCGCTTGCACACTGAATGCAGCCCAGTCAGCTCCCCATGCTCAGGAGCATCGTGCTGGGCTGCATAAGAGATCTGCCGGTCAGGGCGGTACCAGCGAGAGCCGCAGCGTCCCGGGGCTTCCTGGATTAGCCAGGTTGTCCGACTGGAAACACTGGGGTTTCTTGCAAGGGGTATCCTGACCTTCTTAGATTAGATGGTTCCCTTGTCCTTTCTGATGTGGTCTTAAGCTAAAACGTGATCCAGTCCTGGAGGACTTGGACCTTCACGCCAGGGCTGATCCCACTCCCTCTTAGGTTCATAGGGATCCGCATCCCTCAGACTTTGATGTGAACCACGTGATTCTGCTATCCAGCTCGTTAACACCACCCTCACTGAAGAAAAATTGCGGACTATAATGAGACTCTAAAGTCTTACAGAGCCACTGGGCTACATTTAATTTTAGTTATTCACTTATTTCATGGAAAGACATTGAGGACCTTTGACTTAAGACAGAGAATGTTGGTTATGTGAAGGGCGACTGCATTCCCCCGCTTACTCCTTCTTTGTGTCTTAGAAATGGCCCAGCTTGAAATTATACTTACTGTAGCTATAGACTAAGTGTTGTCGTGTGTGTTTTTTCTTTTTTTTTTTTTTTTTAAGATTTTATTTGACAGAGATCACAAGTAGGCAGAGAGGCAGGCAGAGAAGGGGGGGGGAGCAGGTTCCCTGCTGAGCAGGGAGCCTGATGTGGGGCTCAGTCCCGCGACCCTGAGATCATGACCTGAGCTGAGGTCAAGAGTTGGATGCTTAACTGACTGAGCCACCCTGGTGCCCTATAGACTTTTTAAAATTAGGAATTTAGTTATATATGGATAATTTGCCACAAAAACTAAAAATTTTCCCCATGGAAACAACTTTTTTGTTGGGGTTAAAAATCTGTAAATAGGGTTGTGAGGTATCTTACATAAGTAAAGATAAAACATTCATTCATGCAGTCGTGGAAATTTGGATGCCAGCCCAAGTTTAGAATCGTGGACTCAGTTGTTAGTGCTGGGAGGGACCTGAACGACTGTATTCTTCGATATTTTTTAATGTTCTTTTGCCTGGTGACCCGTTCGTATTTTAATACGATCGCCTCGAGGTGAAGCAGACCTTCAGCTGAAGCTTCAGCGTACCAGCGTTTAAAACAGACGGATGTTTGTCTTTCTCCAGCCCGCAGACTTGGTAGTTCCTTGTTACTTTCTATCCGAACTAGTCGGGACGGCTGGGCGTGAGAGCTGACAAGTAGAACTCTCGCTCGTCTATAACGTCACCAACCCTAGACTGGTTTTCCTTGTACGAAGGGAGAACTGTTGAGAGGACCTGGATTTGCTGGTCTCTGCCAAGCAGCAGGCGGCGTGCCGGCGTGTCGGCGTGCCGCAGTTGTAGAAGCCAGAGGAGGCCTGCAGCGGGCCGTGTGCTCTGGGCGCCTAGCCCGTGTCGTCGTGTGTTCGCAGCAGCCCCTCGGGAGGCCCCGTCCAGTGTGTGGGTGTCGGACCCCGGTTACACAGCTGGGAGACGGCGGGGTGGGCCTCCGAAGCAGGTCACTGTGCGCTCGCTGTGTTCTAGGTGGCGAGTCCTCGTTTGCTGCTGCCCAGTCCTCAGACACGGCCTCCTTCCCTCGTGTCGGCTCGTTACTGTGTTTGTGTTTCTCCTGCCGCCCTCGATGGAGCGCTTCGCTTTGTTTTCGCCAGTGTGGTGTCGCGTTCAACTGGACTGCTTTGTCGTCGTGCCACCAGAAATAGTGTTCGGCAGCACACGGCTTCACATAGCTGGGTATAAAGGGGATCATTATGTGAACGGAGTCTGTTACTTGGAAGTGGCGTCATGTTTCCGGAAGGTGAAGCTCTCGGGCCTGTGTCCTGCAGGGGCGCGTGTTCGCTCGACAGCTCTGGTCCCAGACCCCAGACGCTGCTCAGGGCCCTGGGGCCACACAGCGCACAGCCTAGGAGGAGCGTTGTTACTTCGCATTTTCCTAGACAGCGGCGCTCTCGGGAGTGGTGCTGCACGCGGGACCCGGACTGACCAGGCTGTCGATGGTCATCTTTCCCCAAGGACGGCAGCAGGCATCTTGAGTGAAGCTGGTGGAAGCGGCCGCAGGAGGTGAAGCGGTTGGTGGTAGGGAAAGGTCAGGAGGGTCTGGATCTGAAGCGTGCAAGGATGTTATTCTAAAATGGAACCAAAGGACGTGAAATGGAGAATCTCATGCACACGGTTTTAGAAAAACACGACCGAGACTGATTTCCCACAAATGCTTGATTTATAGAAGATGGAACTTCTCGTACAATTAGTGAGCGTCCGCCAAGGATCTCCTTATCTTTGAGCCAGTGAACTCACTGGGTGACATTTTTGCTGGATTTTCCCCTTTTATATTCTTCCCACAAAAGCGGTCTGCCCTAAACCTTTAGTAGTTCCGTAGCTCGCTGCATTTTCGTGTCCTGAATCACAGTCCCTCTGCTATTCCTGCAGAAACTCAACGTCTGGTAACTCGACCTTGCCTCAGTTTACCTCTTTTCTTTCAGGTTAATATTACATGGTGTCAGGAGTGGGAACTGAAGGAGCCAGCCCCTGAGGAGCGACGACCCCCAGAATCGAGCGAGGTACCCATATTTGAGCCCTTTGTGCTCTTTGCTTCCACGAGTTGCCATCACTTTCAGGTTGGTGAGTCTCTCCGTTAATCAAGCTCTCCCTTCTTTTGGTTGAACCTCTCAGACTTTATTCAGGATTTGTCAGTCCCTTTTTTTCTTAACCTTATAACGGGATCCCAGTCATCTAAATGTTCTAAGGGTGCCCCCCTTTGAGGAACCCTGGCCAGTTCTATATGCCTGTTTTTGCCTGTGTCTCAGTCTTACTGAGAAGGGTAACTGAGGGCTCCGATGGCCATTATGGGGAACCTTTCGTCTTTTGAGACTTTTCTTTCTCCCAACTGAGTTAGAAGACCATGGCTACAAAACTAAAGAATTCAAGTGGAATAGTTACTTTCATTAGTATCTGGAGGTTTCTGAAAGTGTTGAGGATTCTAAAGTTGCCTCCTTATAAAATATTGTTTCCAAACTGACTGAAGCAAATAAACAAGTAAAGACGGATAAAAAGTAAAGTGTCAGAGGCCTCTTTCTTGGTGCCGGCCAAGGTTCCCTCCTACCCGCACGGCCCCGCCTCCTTCCATATCCCTCTTGGCCTCCTTGCCCCTCCTCTGTCTGATCTTCCTTTCTTTCCTTTCACTGAAACCTCGTCAGCTTTAACCCATTAAAACCTTCCCTTTCAAAACTAGATCTTCTGAGGATGCTGCTAAACCACCCCAAAGTGCCTGTGCCCCATGGACAGAAGCTGAGCTTAGGGCTATAATTAAGGACTTCCCCAGGGTAACCGAGGGTCCTCATAGCGGGTGGAGGAATTCAGTATTGTAACCCTGACTTACCAGCCTGGTCTCCGATCTCTGTCCGTTCACGTGCTTGTTGGAGAAGGTCCGGCCCGGTGTTGGATGAAAACAACCTAGGGTTTAAACCATACTAGCCACCAGCCCTTTTACGTGACCAAGCTCGCAGCATAGCCAAAAGGCTACATGAAGTGGTCCCTAGGGCTTTCCCCAAGCCCATGGACTAGAATAAGATTCCCACACGCACCCAGAAGCCTGCTGAATCTGTCTGTGAATGTTACGTGGCTATCCATGACTCTTACGTTGTTTTCAAGGAAAATTCCAGGCTTCCCGTAGGTGTTGAGTCCACCCTGGTGGTGTCCTGCACGACCCTGCCGTTAGTGCAGACAGTCTGCCCGCTGGAAAAAGGTCACTGTAAATTGAAGTCCAAGCAGTTGCAACCCTCCCACGAGGCAGTGGCCAAACCCTCCCCAGTGATGGGACCCCAAGGGCCCACGAAGACCATTTCCCAGCCTTGGGGGAGGGGAATTACTTAGAATGGGGTGACTGTTCTCCAGTTTGGGGATGAATTTTCTCACCATTTCAGTTAACACTTGAACTGTTCTGTTAGTGCGCAACCCTAGATCGCACTGTCCCTCCTCGGAGTAATGCTTGCGCCGCTGGTGGGGCTCAGACAGACCACAGCATCGCCCTGTCTCTCAGCCCATGGCCTTTAAGCTGGGGTCTGTGCGAGGACCAGTCACTGCTCTTCAGCGGTCTGGCGCCTGTACGTCTGTGTAGGCTGAGATGTCCCGGGGAAATACATTGCATGTCTTTTCTCCTTTCCCAAAGGGGAAATAGTCCTTGAGTTCAAGTCTAGTACTCAGGAGCGTTCCGGCCCCATTACTGCACTCTGCAAACCAAAGTAGACCAAACTTGGGGCTCGTCCCCACTGTCAAACCTGGTACCCCCATTCCTGGGGCAAAATCCTCCACAGAGCAAGGCAAATCCATAGTGTTCCTCCCATTAATATCTAGATCGACCCTTCAGAATCTCTCCCAAGAATAAATCAGTACCCTGTAAGTAGTAAAGAGGCCTCCCCAGGGCATCAGGCCTAGAAGACAGTAAGGACTCATCATCCTTTGTACAGTCCTCGAAATATCCCTATTTTACCCACGAAAATTCTGTGCCCAGGGATGGAGCTCGGTCCGGCGCATTAAGGCAGGAAACACTGTAATTCCCCCACCCAGTTGTGTCTAATCCGTGTGCACTGTTGGTTTCCAGCCCTGCTGTAGGAGGCGTCTTTTTTCTCTTTTTAAACTGTAGTTAAGTTACGCAGTCCATTTTTTTAGTATTCCTTTTGATAGCGGTATATAGAAAAAGGTAATGGCCCTTTGGCCTTTACCTGGGAAGGATAAGACTATTCGCGGATAGTCCTGCCTCGAGGGTTTACTGAGGGTTCTTCTCCACACAGAGTGCAGCAGCCGACTTAAATGACGTGCTCTCCTCCAGAGGCTTCATCTCAGCACAGATACGTAACGGATTTCGCTCTTTGCTTGCCTTCCCAAGGCTGCTATCCTAAAGACCTGTTGACCTGTTCACCTGTAAAAAATCTTAGTCATTAACAGACGCAAAAAATGGCCATTTGTTCAAACCTCTGGTTCAAGATTTAGGATAACTTAATCTCAGAATGGGAATACTTCCTGAAAGACTTCAGGGCATTTTAAACTTTCTGTACCCCAAGGTCAAATGTGAATTACAGGGTTTTCTTGGCTTGGGTCACAGTTGGATTCCAAACCTTAATAGCTGAGCCCCTTTGTGCCACACAAAAGAACACCAAACTGGACCCCATTGTTTGGGATGACCAATATATTTTCTCCTTTAAGACTTTGAAGGACGGTAGTAAGTCCGCCTATCCTCAGACACCCAGATTATCAGCTACGTTTTCCCTTTCGTAGATGAGAAGGAAGTAGGTGCCCTCAGATAACTTATCCCAAAACATGGGGCTATCACAGACCCCTAGGTTACTCTGGCCAACAGTTAGGTCCACTGCCTGAGGTTACATCCCCCTGCCGTAGCGCTCTGCTCGCCACCACCCTTAGTCGAGGCTACTAAAGGGATAGGGGATCTTCCTCAACCCTCTTGACAGTGTCGGGGCTATTGAGGCTCTCTTGAAGTCACGCCACACCCAGTACCTTTGAGCAAGCTCTTTCCTCCTGTCAAGCCCTCTTACTGACCCCCACCCCATCCCTCTTGTTCACGGTAGTAGTCTTAGCCCTGCTGCCCTTCTTCCCTCTTCCGCTGATGGAACTCCCCACGACTGTCTTTCACAGATCACCTGTTGACCCTATAAGAAACCCCCGTGACACACAGTGATCTTTCCTGGTTGATGGGTGACTCTTACCTGAACTGTGGAAGTGTGAGTTTCGTGCTGGGTATGTGATAACAGTTTGGAGGTTTTTGAGGCTCAACCCTTACCTTTGGCCACTTCAGCTCAAACCAGCTGAAATCGATGCCCTCACTTGAGCCTTTTAGCTGAAAGCAGGACAGCAAATGCTGCTCCTGATTGTTCTTATGCCTCTGGAAGGCCCACGATCTTAGACTCTTAGGGGGAAACAACAGGGCTTCCTCGGTTCTCGTGGAGGTGAAATTAAGAATGGCTTCTGTGCCCCAAATCTAGTGGTTGCCATAGTGCCCCCAGTAGCTCTAACTGTGGCATGTCTGATTCACTGGAAGCCAAAGGAGTCTGCTTCGCCATTGCCCCCGTAAGAAGTGCGGCCCTAAGAAAGCCGTTGACCAAACTTCTGTTATAGCCCAGAAGATGGCTCCCGCAGCGAGGACCAAGGAGTGACCAGGGAAGAGCAGAGCTGACCCGTGAAAGAGAGAAGCAGAGTTGGAGATCTGAAGGCTGTTGGTCCCACAAAGAAGAGGGACTCTGCTTTGTACCCAGTAAGATGCTGGTCCTTCAGAAGTTCTAAAGCTTTCCTTATTGGCCACTGTGCCTGAATTAAACCGTTGGTCACCCGAGGAATGATAACATTTACGGGTTAGTATTGGTGGGAAAACACCAGCAAGGCCACAGAGAGCACCACCTGGTTGTTCACCTGACCTGAGTGCAGCCCCGGAAGTTGGCTGGCACCACCCCAGGACCACTCACGGCCTGGCAGGTGAATTTCATACATTTGCCTCATCTCACGGATATAAATACATTCTCGTGGTAATTTGCATATTTTCACATTGGACTGGAGCATTTCCGTGTCGAAAGGTCACTGCCTCTTCCTTAAAGTCCTTTGAGGTAGGACTTTTCCCACTGGGGGAGTACCGTGGTGATCAGGAGACCCACATCCCTGGACCAGTGAGCATTAGACGAGTGTGGGCCATGTGGCCAGTTCTGCATGTTTCTGCTCTGTAGCCTCGGACTTCAGGACTGGCCCCCGTACACAGAGAACTGTGAAGATCAGTTTGCTAAGTCAGTTGAAACCCTCTAAACAGCTTGGCCCCAAGAACCGCTGCTGCTTCCTTGAAACCCTTAGTCCTGCTCCACTCAGTATCACAGACTCTCTCCTCGGAAGTAATTACCGGACGGCAGCGCACCCCGCTCCCGCTTCCTTGGACCCACAGCTAGAAAACGGGGACAGACTTGAGTATTGCAAGGGTCTAATTAAATCCATTGAGAGTAATCACGCCGTGGTAGTGTAGGACGGTCTTTCCCCAGCAAGTCCCGAGAGACAGGAGACGTCGGACATCACACCTCACAGCCGGCTGAGTTCATCTGCTGGAAAAGACATCTCCGTGAAGATGCACTCCAGCCTTGTTGAGAGGCTGCCTGCCAGGTGTTACTGAGGAACCCCAGTGCCACCAGGTTCCAAGAGACAGACTCCTGGATTCATGTGTGCCTGCTGAAAAGGCCCCAAAACCTGGGAGGACCTACATCCCAGCTGGTAGCTGAAAGCTAAAAATTTTCAAGACTGAAATACATGGCATTGGAAGCAGTCAGCCTCCCCAGGATACCGGGGTCAGGCCTGTAGCACCTCCCGCTTCGTGGGACTCTGCGTTGCCTGACCGCTGAGTCCTGCTGTCCAAAGTTGTCATTGTTCCTTTGCCAGTCTCCTTGGCACTCCTTGGTTTGCCGGTAACGTACTCCTTTGTTCCCAGTCCACAGACACGGTTTGATTCCACCGACCCTGCGCGTTGCTGGGTTTGCCCTGGAGTGAGCACTCACGACACGCCCGGACTGGTGGCCTGGCCGTTACCCCTGGAAGGATGGCAGAAGCTTTCTGCCGGAGATGACAGGGCCTTCCCCTCCTGCCTTGGAAGCCGTACACATTCTTCCGGCAGGGTGGCACCAGACGTCACGGCATTCCGTCGGGTGCTCCTCCCCATAGAGGAACACGCACACTCAAGTCCGTGCGTCTGCCCGTGGCCTTTCTCTGTGTCCCACAGACAGTGACAGGACGAGCAGAAGTCAAGGCTGCTCCCAGGTAGTGCGTGTGACGACGGCGGTGCAGGACTCAAGGTCGTATGCTCCGCACGGGGATCGAAGCGACGACAAGGTCTCCGGTACTGTAGCTCTGTGCAGGGTACTGGGAACGGGAGGCCGAGGTGCTTCCTTTCAGTGGTGCCTCGTGAGCAGTTGCTCAAAAATCTAGCAAAGGGTGGAAATGAATTCAACATGCTTTCTCCTGGGCAGATCCCCAGATCACTGGAACCTCCCCCACAACCACCAGACTCACTTGTTAGTCCAAATATATTGAAATTTAAGACATTCCTGTAACCATGTCTGTGGTGCTGAAAGCCCCGCTTACGGCATGTTTGTGGAAATGACCGTGTTTTGATTGTGAGGCCGTCTTTTTCACTCCAGGGGAAGAAACTGGGCAAAGGGGTCTACCTGACCTCCCATCTTTAGAAAACACTAGTTAGTTCTTTCTATGCCCCCTGGAAAGGATGCTGTGAAGTTGTTGCCCTCACTCCTGCTGCTGAAACCAGGAAACCCTTCCTCCTGGCACCCCTGCATCCATTCTGGGGCTTTCTCCCGCTGTCTTAAAAGAGCACCTGGTAACAGGGACGGATAGCACTTTGGGTGCGTGCCCATGAGTACCCCCGATAGATAAGGATCTGCCTGAGCCTTGTTCCCTTGGTGGGTTGGGCCGCAGCACTTCTAAAGACAACTCGGAGCCTGTGGTCGTGGTACGGCCGTCACTGCTCCCGTTAGAGCTTCTGAGCATGACCAGCCGAGCTGGAGAGTCGGTAGTGGGCTTCAAAACCACGTCCCGTGCCTTCACCCTCCACAGCGGGGAGGGCAGGAATGCCGTTTTTGTATTAACAAATTGTAGGAAGTGATGCAAGAATGAAAAGTAACACGGTAGTATCAGACTCTGAACTGAGATAAGCCAGGTTCCCGGGCACCTGGGACGCTCTCGTCTTACTAAATGCGGGCGGCTGGGGAAACTGGTCGACGGGGTTTCCAGCCAGTAGCCGTAAGTGAACCTTCGACCGCGAGTATAATCCTCCGAGACGTAGGCACAGACTAAGGGTGGTTTTCCCTCCCAAGATTTCTGAGGCTCGAGTGTGAGACGCGCGACTGGATTCCCCCATTTCTCGACTGTTGGCTGTTCAGGTGAGGCCTGATCCCCTCTTGCCGTTTCCCTCCTGTGAGGGACAGACATCGGAGGATGTCCCTTCAGTTCGGGGGGCCGCCATCCACTCACAGCTACGGACCCCTCTGACCAAGCCAGCCCCCCAGGGCCTTCTGTGAAAGATGTGGATCAGAGGGGACATTTGGGAGGACTTGAACCTAAAACAGAACTAAAGGCTTTGAAGTGGAGAATCTCGTACGAAACAGCGAACTAGAGGACTGTCTGGCCGATTGCCCTTGAACGCTTGACCGACAGAAGATGGAAGCGGTCTCCAGCCAGGGAGTGACCACCGAGCGCCTCTTCCCGCCTTGGAGCTGTTGCGCTTGCCGCATGGCTCCTAACTGGATCGCCCCCTTCCGTGCAGAAAAGCAGCCCGCCCTGGCCCTTCAGCCGACTCGCCCGTGGCTCCCGACTCCAGTTCTGTGCTCTTCCCAAGTCAGCTCTCTTGCCGGCCATCAAGCTTGCCTGGGTCTGTGTCCTTTGTCGTAGGTGATGGAAACTCGGGTCCACATCCTAGCAGCCGGATGACCTTGGGACGGGCGTGCTGCCTTGACCAGCCTCTGTGTCCTTGACCACACACACAGGACGTTGCCTCCCTGGCAGGGTTGGCGCTGGGTAGAAGATGTGGGAAAGCGCCTGTCCCATGGGGCCCTTGCTAGTAGAGGAGGTGTTAGGTTCGGGGGTGGCTTGGCTGGGTGCTGCCGATGTGGGGGAAAGACCGGAGCCTGTCGCTGAACCAGCCAGGACGGCGGCTTGTGCTGAGCAGGCTCTTGCCGGCCGCCGGTGTCTGTCTGGCCGCCAGGCACTGCTGTCTGCGTCTGTTCCACGGGGCAGGTGGGTCGGGTCGGCAGGAGGTTCCGGAATCCGCCCATGCTCTCACCCGGAAGGCCTTCCGCTGCGGTCCTCCTGCTGCGTGAGTGACGGATCGGTGCGCAGGCCACCTGGGCCACAGAGGTGCGTGGTCGGGGGGAGCCAGCGGGGCTCCGCAGCCGGCGACCAGGAGGCCAGGACGGCAGCTCTGAGGCTGCTGTCGTCAGCTGTTTTCTTGAAGTCTTCCCCGCCTTGTACTTGTCCCATGGCGCGTGGGGGACAGCAGAAGGGGCGCATGGAGATACTGTGGCTGTGGCCGGACGCCTGCGGAGAACCGCAGAGGAGCGGGAGCTGGGGTCAGCGTTGAAGGAGACGCCTAGAAGGGCCCAGGATTCCGGGTTCTGTTGGGGGGACTCGGGACTCAGCCGCAGGTGCTGGGTAGCACTAAGGAGTCTCTAGAGCCCTCACGGACCATGGGCACGTGTGGGGGCGGGCGGGTGGCCACCCCTCGCGGAACGTTCGTCTCACTGTTGTGCTCCTTCTGGGCGTATCAGCAAAAACCAAAGTAGCCAAAGAAAAATGCAGTTGAGCGGGAAACGGAACAGGTGCAGACCGTAAATTCCAGTCAGAGCTGCTCTCCTTAGACGCGGGGGTTTCGTTGTTCCACATTGTGGTGGAGGGCTCGAGTCCTGCTTGGGGACCTGAGAACATGAGCCCGGGCCAGCACTCGGGACACCGCCGCGACGCCACTGGGACGCGTGTGCTTTACGTGTGAGAGGCAGGAGCGTCACCACCTCCGACCGGTGTCACGTTCGTCAGGCTTTTGAGACTTCACTAATCACGAGTTCTTTTTAAGGAGTAAATGTCCATGATTTCACTTTAATGTTTATAGGTAAGAAATCATCTAATTTGGAGAGTCTTGTGTGTGTCTTGTAAACGTGGGGTCGTACCGAGTGTCACGTTTGTACATAGCACTGCCATCTCCAGTGTGGGAGTAAGAGAACACACAAAACCAGTGACCTTTAAAATCCTGGGGCTTCTGGGTGGCTCCATTGGTCAAGCGTCCAATTCTTGGTCTCGGCTTAGGTCTTGATCTCGGGGTCATGAGTCCAAGCCCCATGCTGAACTCCACCCCGGGCGTGTGGCGCCTACTTAAGAAAAATAATAACGGCGCTGGGGTGACTCAGTCATTCGGGGGCCTGCCTTCAGCTGAGGTCGTGGTCCCAGGGTCTTGGGATCAAACCCCGCGTCGGGCTCCCTGCTCAGCGAGGAGCCTGCTTCTCCCTCTCCCTCTGCTGTTCCCCCTGCTTGTGCTGTTTCTCACTCTCTGTCAGATAAGTCTTAAATTTAAAATAATAATAATAATAATAATAATAGTAGTAATAATAAAACTAAAATCCGCTTGTGACTTCAAGTGTGAAAGGTAATAGAAGCACTAGTAAATGCTTTGAAGAGTTCTGGGATTGTTGGCCTCCTAGCAGAAACATATATCCCTGTTGCGGAAGCTTATTAGAGAGAGAAGGCAAATTAGAACTGATTAGTATTCCTTTGAACTCTGGTCATTTTAGCACCAAAAAGAGAGTTTGTTCATTTGTTTTTATTGAGCAAAATATGCATGCACTGAAACGCATAGATCTAAGTGCCAGATTTGATGAATTTGACAAGTGTATATACCCAAGAAACCCAACAGCCCATTTACAATCTAGACATTTCCATCACCCCAGAAAGTTCCCTCCTGCTCCTCCTGGTGGACCCTCATCCCCCATAGACAGCCACTGACTGCTCCAAGCACCCTAGAAAGTTCATTGTGAATATTTGGCGATGTTAATTGTTATAACTCTCTTAATTTGTAGGAGATCAAAACACTCAGATGGCAGATAACAGGTAAGCCAAGATGAACTTGCTAATTGGGACTTAAGTTTTAGTTGAAGAGCATGAGCCAAGCCATCCATGAGGAAATGTCATAGAAGCTCTGGTGGGATGGCTTCCCTCCCCCTCTGTGTTTGAGCCATGACGAAGGGGCTTTGCACAGGGGAAGTGTCTCAAGCATCGATACTGAGAACCCTCTCATGCGAAGTGGCCACGTTGCTGTCCGAGAGTGGCTGGACACCGCCCTCACATCATTGGCCTCTGGGGGTCGAGTGAAAGATTTTGTTTCGTGGCTCGTCCTGAAAGCTGCGTTTGGTGCTGCGTAGTGTTTGACGTGGTGTAATTTTGGTGAGGGAAGCCATGTCCAGGCGTCTTTGAAAACTGATGCACCTGTTTTCATGACGTTTCATCGTTGGTAGACTTTCTGTGGTGAGCCTACAGAGCCACCGTGGGCACTGTGTCCTGAAAACTGGGTAAGGCAGCTCTTCTTTGATCCCGTTGGCCGCTGACCACAGTGTAGCGTGCGTGTTGGTCGGCTAGTGGGTTCGGTTTGAGGGTGGGGAGCAGAGTTTTCGGGGACAGAAACTAGAAATAAAAACTAAGCAGCTTTGGCCAGGGTTGGAAATTAGAACTTTGGGGCACATGGGGTGGCGGTGGGGTGTGTTCAGTGGTAGGTGGTTTTTGTTTTATTTTGTTTTTAATGACCAAAACATACCTCATAGATACACCCATGTGTCCGTAGTTCTGTCCAAGTGTGAAGTTGTTGTAGCGCTGCCTCTTAACGTGCTGCACAAGGAAAATGCCCTTGTACTCTTTGGAACGTCTTGATAGCTAATACGTAACGTACGGTCTTAGTTTTTCAGACGGTGTTCCTTCAGACGCCTTGGAGGCTGCTAAAAATGCAAGTCACACAGGTCAGTTCACGGCCCGTGGGGAAGGGCACCGCGGGAGAGTTCGCGCGCAGAGCGGGGTGGCCTCCACTCTTGAGCTAGTGCTCGCGACAGGCCGAGTCATCCACGTGAAGCTTCACTGGGCTTCAGGGGTTTCGGGAAGTCGGAGTCGTTCACGTGAACAGAACTTCCTGTATAGCCTTCCATGACAGGAGCTTCGGGCTTTCCAGAAGTAGGCTGGCGAGCACGGTGGGCCTCCTTGTGCCCGCTGCCGCGCAGGGCCGGCGTTGCTCAGCCGGGGACCGATCTTTTCCATCTGTGTCCTTTCTTTTTCCCTGATCCTCCTGGAGCAAACCCAAGACCCCATGTCATTTTGTCCCTCAGTTCATAGATGTGTTCTTTTTTCCTCTTTTTAAAAATTTATTAGATCTATACCTTTTTCCCTCCCTTAAACTGTTTGAAAGCAAGTTGGGGGTATCTTGACTCTTTTCTTCTAAAACAGTTTCGTGTAAATTTTCTAGAACCTAGGATGAAGGCCTCTAACCCCAACGCTGTGACCACAACCAAGAAATGCGGCGTTTACACGACACTGTAGTTGTGTGAACACAGAGCTGTGTTACTGTGCCCTGCCGTTTTCGGCTGCTCCTTTTTAGCCGTAGCCCCCAGCCAGCAGTGGCGTCCAGAATCTAGTTCGGTGTCCCTTACTCTGGGGCTGTTCTCCTGCCTCTTTACCCTTCCCTGTGGTGACACAGTGGCGGGCTGTGCAGGCCAGCTGTCTTGGAGACCGGCCAGGCTCTGGATTGGTCGGGGGGTTTTCTTCCCATTAGATTCAGACTGCCACATAGTGACCTGCTGCAGGGGGAGCACACTGGGGTCGTGGCGAGGGATCCTGAGATTGCGGACTTGGGGAAGGTTGTGTCTGGAGCCTTCCCCATTGCGAGGGTCTCTTCAGTAAGTGACCTGTCGGTCATCCTGTGGACATCCTGTTCTCCCGAGTCGTGCTAATGATCCTTGTGGAATCAGGAATGACGTCGGTGTTTGCACAGGGCGCTTTTCTAAGTATGGCGGTCCGGCTGCGTACTATGGCTGTCAGAGACGGCCTTTCTCTCTCCCAGCCCCTACTTCAGTGTTCTAGACCCTTTCTCCTTCGGTGTTTCCTCAGGCGCCATCAGTACTCTTTTTGGTGTGCAGATTGTCCCACGTGGCAGTGCAGGTCTCTTCAGACTGGCTTCTGTGACCTTTTGCCTTGTCCTCTTGACCTTTGAACACCTCGTAGCTTTCTGATGCTCCATTTTTCCTGGAACTCTTGCTCTGGACCTGGAGTCTACCATTTCTGCAAGGGGCCCTGTTCCTTACAGTAGGGGGAGATGTATAAAAACCAGAACATAGATGCTAGTGTTAACGGTTTCTAGGCTTTTCAGTGGCAGGAGCTAGAGAAGATGCGTGTCTGTGTGTGGTGGGGTATTTACGTATTGTACGCGTGCCCAGTTGCATGTGTACAGAACCGCATAGATGAAACCACCCAGTGCTTCCTGGTAGCCGCTGTTTATAACTAAAATGTTGAAATTGAGTTGCCTACTTGGTATCCTTTCCTTGCCCATGTGACTTTAGTACCGAAAGGTGGGGAGAGCTCCAGGCACCTTTAGAGTCAGGTGAGGGTGCTAAATTAGGGTTCCTGGGCAGTGGGAACCAGCAGGCGTCAGTTCAGCAAACACGGAGCACCTCTGCCACAGGCCGGTGCTGTGTCGTGCCACTGTTGGTTACAGTGGAGGAAAAGCCCTCCCTTCCCCTTCAGTGTCTTGTTCGTTCGTTGGGAAACAGTGATGTGTGTGAGCCACCAGCACAGTGTCGGGGAGGAGGCCAGTGATTTTTGGGAGGGGGTAGTGAGGGAGTGCGGTGTGGAGGGGGTGGTTTGGGCAGAAGGGCAGTGTAGTTCAAGGTGGAGGCCAGAACTTGCACTTCTGGTGCACCAGGAGCCGGTGCACGTAGGACCTCCTGGGACGTGAGCTGGGCTGCCAGTAAGCACTTCTGTCCCTCAGAAGACATCGTTGCCTTGTCCCTGTCCTTGACTTCTGGGCCCCCTTAGGTCTGGGGGAGAGAAGGGGAGGTGGCAGGAGATAGGCCCCTGAACTGGGAGGTAATGGCATCTCTGGGAGGTATGCCGCTTAAACAGCTGCAGGAAGACCCAGAGCTCACTCCCTGGGTGCCCTTCAGTGCGTTTCTGACCGCCCGCTCAGCTGGGTAATGGGTCAGACGCCTTTAGAGTACATTTGAGGGGGCGCCTGGAGGGCTCGGTCAGTTAAGTGTCCGACTCTTTATTTCAGCTCACGTCATGATTTCAGGGTCACGTGATTGAACCCCAGCTCAGGCTCTGTGCTAGGCAGGGTGTCAGCTTGAAATCCCCCCCCCCCCCCGCCGCCCTCTGGTCCCCCCATCCAGAAAAAATAAAATTTTAGTATTTTCAGAACATGTTTTTAAGAAGTCACTTGCTACATTTAGAAGTTAAAGTGAACAGTCAAAGCTGGGGAGGTCCGTGCTGGTGGTTTTGTCCCCTTGGCTGTTCTGTGTTGGGCGTATCTTAAATATTCTGGCCTTGTTCTTACCTCTTAATAGAAAAGCTCACTGATCAGGTGATGCAGAATCCTCAAGTTCTGGCGGCTTTACAGGAACGGCTTGACAGTGTCTCCCACACTCCTTCCAGTTACATAGAGACGTGAGTATGACGTGCATGCGACTCGCTACAACTTAAGAAGCAAAGGGGAAAAGACCGGTTTCCTGGTTCCTTAGAATAGGAATACACGTCTTCCTCGTTGAGCAGATTTTGGGTCCTGAGAAGCAGGCACCGGGTTCCAAAGAGGAGCGCCTGGGCTTGGCAGGTGGCGGAGATGCAGGCCTGTGGTGGGCGGTTGTGGGGGGGGCGGGGGGGTTAGCTAGCCAGAGGGCCTTAGGGCCCGGCTCAGGGTGGCAGGGTGCTGGCTTCCAGCTAACTCTCCGCAGGCCGAGGTCACGGTACTGTGAGGGAGGAGGAGAGTTGAAGGTGATCATGGTCTCTCTAGTTTGCTGGCTAGCCTCTGGGCGAGTGGGGTGGCTTTCACGCAGAGGGAATGCCGGGGCTGGGAGCGAGGTTTCACGGAATAGGACTAGTCCCGTGTTGGACGAACTACATGGTACATGCCTGTTGGGGGGACAGTGTGGAGTTATTGTAACTGATTGGGGGACAGCTGGATGTAGGATATCAGGGTCCAGTTTGCTTAAAATCATTTGTTGTTTTTACTGTTAGGAAGACGAGGAAAGATAAAAGAAAATTGTAATCGTGTGATTAATGCGGAAGAGAAATAGTGGTGTTTCTGTATGTTTCCCGTTTCATTAGGTCCTCACTGTACTTCCTCCTTGTTCTCCTGCCCGCAGTAGTCCTAGAGATGGGACAGTAGTTTAGGGGTCTTGGTAAAGGACCTTTACCCTGAGGTGGCTCTGGGTAGGGTGGCAGGGTCCTTCGATGTAAGGCTGTTGCAGTGTTTATTCCAAACAGTGCTGCGTGTCGGAGCAGCTAGGACTCTGTGTATCGTCGGAGGAAGGGTAGAGTACTCGGGCTACTGCTAGTCCCACCTTGAGGGCTCGGCCCAGGTGGACACTGCCCAGGAGGGCTGTATGGGTCTGTGATGAGGCCCAGAGATCTCTTTGTTCTAGATGGTGACCGAGTGCTTCAGGTTAAACATAGAGTTTTGATGGGTTAGAAGGGGGTTTGTTTCTTCTGATGCATAAAAGTAATGCATACAAACACGAAATGTTTCTAGACTATAGAAAAGTACTGGGGTGCCTGAGTTGATCATCCAACTCTTGATTTCGGCTCAGGTCCCAGTTTCAGGGTTGTAAGATTGAGCCCCGTGTCAGGCTCTGTGCTCAGCATGGAGTCTGCTTGTCCCTCTCCCCCTGCTCCTCCCTTTCTCTCTCTCTCTCTAAAGTAAATAAGGGGCGCCTGGGTGGCTCAGTGGGTTAAGCCTTTGCTCTCAGCTCAGGTCACGATCTCAGGGTCCTGGGATCGAACCCCGCATCAGGCTCTCTGCTCAGTGGGGGGGCCTGTTTCCCCCACCCCCTGCCTCTCTGCCTACTTGTGATCTCTTTTTCTTTGTTAAATAAAATCTTTTAAAATTTTTTTAAATAAATAAATCTTAAAAAAAAAAAAAAAGAAGAAGAACGTCAAGAAATATCAAAAGGCAAAGAATCTCAGTTACCCGACTGTGGAAGGGAACAGACCCCACTTACTTGTCTGTGTTGTGTCTGATTTTCCCCTTAGTGTAGCAACATGAACCCTTCACCCGGTGCTGAATATTCTCTGGAAACATGATTTTGGACAGGCTGTGTTCTACTCCTGTTCAACGTGCCGTTGTTTTCGGTTTTCCACTTTTACAAGTAATGCCTCAGGGGACACAGCAGCACACGAGTGTTTGGGTATTTCCTTAGCATAAGTTCCTGGAAGGAGAGTTACTGGACCCAAGGGACATTGAGGTTCTGCTTTGTCTTTAAGGTGGATGGGGCTGTTAGAGGGCTTCTTGGGCTCATCAAACCCGGGAGGTTTTTTTAATTGCCATTTTGGTAAGGAACAGACAGCAGTTCTTTTAAATATTTTATTCATTTATTTGTCAGAGAGAGAGAGAGAGCGTGCACAGACAGAGAAGCAGGCTCCCTGCTGAGCAAGGAGCCCGATGTGGGACTCGATCCCAGGACGCTGGGATCATGACCTGAGCCAAAGGCAGCCACTTAACCAACTGAGCCACCCAGGCGTCCGGACATTTTGTGGGATTGAACTTTCTTCCCATGCTTGATTATTTGTTTTGTTTCTTTTGTGGATTCCCTGTCCGCGCCGGGCCCCCCAACCCCTTCTACCGGGATGTTCGTCTTTCTAACGCTGTTGAGGGGCTCATTTCTGCGAGTGAGGATGTGAGTTGTCTGTTAGCCTGAGTTTATCTTAAGGAGACGGACAGGCGCACTGCCTTCTTTCGCAGGCAGGAGGGTGATTTCCTTTTCCTTGGCTCTTGCAGCCTGCCGAAGGCCGTCCGGAGGAGGATCAACGCGCTGAAGCAGCTGCAGGTGCGCTGCGCCCACATCGAAGCCAAGTTCTACGAGGAGGTGCACGACCTGGAGAGGAAGTACGCCGCCCTGTACCAGCCCCTCTTCGACAAGGTGGGCCGCTCCCTCTGCGCTGCCCGCGCCGTGTCCGTGCATCCTTCTCGTAGGGCCCCACGTTGCGGGGCGGAGGATCCCGAACGGTTCTCCTTCAAGCCCCAGACTTAGAATCTTACGTTATAAAAGCGTCGGTTTTCACGGGCTTTTCACAGACGTGATGTACAAACTGACCTCGAGTTTCTGACTAACCCGCCCTGACTCTAAGACGGTCTCATTCTTACTCAGAGAAGGGAGTTCATCACCGGGGACGTGGAGCCGACGGACGCCGAGTCAGAGTGGCACAGTGACAACGAAGAGGAGGATAAGTTGGCGGTGAGTGTTTGCGAGCGAGCTGGGGCTGCTGCAGCGGCGCTGGGAGTAGGAAGTCTGTCTCAGTGTCACAGAGGACAGCGCCCCTGACGACGGGGGCCTCTTCGCCCTGAGGTTGGCCGCTGCGATTTCTTTCTGATCGGACCACGGAGCGGCCGGTGGGTCCGGTGTCCGTTAATTCCGTGACCTGGCCAGGCTCCCGCTGCTCCAGTGTCTAAACAGCTCCGTGCCACAGGATGGCGGGATGTGGGATCGGATGAGTCCAAAAGAGAACGTCGGCAAAGTCTTCCATCGAGACAGAAGCGAAGTCCCACAAGGGGAGGGGCCCCTGTGTCGGCAGCCCCTGCGGGGTCAGGGTTGTGCAGAGGGCTTGGTGGGGGGTCCGGGCCGCCACCCTCCAGGACTGGGGCGGTGACCCAGGTAGCTGTGGCGCCCCCAGCCCCTTGGGCTTTGGAGCTCCTCCTCGCCTCACAGCCTTCGGCCCCGTTCCAGAGCCGCGGGAAGATCCAGTGCGCTACAGGGTAACTTGGTCCGCCAAAGTTTGTTGGGAAGACAAGTAGCTTTTGTCCTTTTTTAATCCATCGGGGCTCCTTCGTAGGCATTTTTTTGCAGTGTGTGTTGGTTGTAGTGACCGGTGCTTTGATCTTTCAGACATACCGTAGAAGCTGGCCTAGTTGAGGCTGTGGCTGTGGTTGAGCCTAGTTGGGCATCATTTCCTTGTAGCTCAAGAAATACCAGCCTCTGTTACTCTCTAAAGCCCCTTACGGTCGTTCTCACACGAGACTGCCACATGACGGAGTGGCTGCACGTGCCGTGGCTCCGGTTAGTGCTGTGCCCGACCTCCCTGGGCCTGCCCGTTCCCGGGGCCCCGAGGTTAGAAGAGCCGCTTCTGCACGTCACATGTAGCCTGTCCAGTCGCCCCCCCGGTGTTGGCGAGCAATTCCTTCCTGGATGCCTGTAGCCTCCTCTTTGTCGGACGGACACGCTGCTCGGCGCTCCTTGTTGCCAGGGCACTGGATTCTGGCGGGCGCTGGGTGGCTGGTTGTCCCGGGATGGGCGTCTCATAGAGTGGCACTTGACACCTTCCCCGAGGTTGATGGCATTGTACCGTCTTCTAAAATTATGTCACAGAATCACCTCTGAAGGGAGTGCTCTGATTGCCTAGGAACATTTAAAGTGGAACGTGCGTGGAGGTCTTGCAGGTGCGGAGAACGCAGTTTTGTTTTTTTGTTTTTCTTGTTTAGTTTAAAGATTTTATTTTTTTGACAGATCACAAGCAGGCAGAGAGGCAGGCTGAGGGGGGGGGAGTGGGTTCCCTGCCGAGCAGAGAGCCCGATGCGGGACTCAATCCCAGGACCCTGAGATCACGACCTGAGCTGAAGGCAGAGGCTTAACCCACTGAGCCACCCAGGCACCCCCGGAGTACACAGTTTTTGACATTTGTGCAGGATTCCGAAATTTACACTCTGTGTTAAGCCACCGAATGTAAATGTGTTGTTTTGTGCTAAGTGTTCTGTTTGGCATCTTCATTTTTTTTAGGGCGACATGAAAAATAAAGTAGTCATAGCAGAAAAAGAAGCAGCAACAGCAGAGGAGCCAAACCCCAAAGGAATTCCAGAGTTCTGGTTCACCATCTTTAGAAATGTAGATATGCTAAGTGAGTTAGTCCAGGTAAGCAGATTTCTGCCTTACAGAGAGAGTTTTTAGTCTTGGTAACTGTTTACTTACGAACCACTTAACCGAGAGTTGAGCGGTTGTTCGCGGTGGGTGGAAAGGCACTTCGTGTGCCCGGCAGCTCACCTGAGTGGTCTCGATCTCCTGAGGTGGGGGTCTCGCTGTCGTGCTGCTGGGAAGCCTGCCCCTCTGCAGCTGAGCCACGATTGGCGTGGTCTCACCTTCTTCCTGAGGCCTGCTGCCTTACGCAGAAAGCCTTTGAACAGACTCGAGACCCTTCCCCACCTTCCTGTGAATGAACAAGTGGGAAGGTGTGCGGGCAGGAGACCAGAAAATTGGCCAACAGGGTCCGAAGCTGACCCGAGATGTTTCTTCAGAGACATGAGGCCCAGCAGGCCTGGTTGATCCCTGTTTGCAGCGGCAGCAGGTGGTCGTGTGAAAACAAGTCAGGCTCTTGCCCTCCCTGCCTGGCCTGGATGGTTCCCAGTGCGCCGGACCAGAGAGAAGTGGCACCATGGTGCTGACTGCTCGTCGTTGCACAGATGTGTGTGACTTCCTGTTGACCCCTGCGTGCACTAGTGAGCCCCGGCGGGGGACATGTGTGTTGTTTGGGAAAAGCCCAGTAGAAATTTCTTCTTTTCTCTTGTTAATCAGGAGTATGATGAACCGATCTTGAAGCACCTGCAGGATATCAAAGTGAAGTTTTCAGACCCTGGGCAGCCTATGGTGAGTGCTGATGGATGGAGCTCCTGGTTGGCACAAACAGGTCAGGCTCTGAGGGTGAGGGGCTCGGAGCCGTGGCAGGAGCTGCACAGCTGGCCACACACTTGCAGGGTGGTCGGCCGGTCCTGAGCAGGCTGCTCACCAAGAACTAGAATGTTCTCACGTGGCCTTCCTGGGTCTTGCCCAACAGTGCTGCACATCCTGGCAGGCAGCTCAGGCCACGGGCTGCCTGTGGCAGGTGAAGGAGTCCACGTAGCCCAGGACTCCTTGGCCGTGGTGTCTGCCACGCCATGTGCCGCTCTTGGCTGGCTTGTTCTGTGTCAGAGGGGACAGTGTCTTTCTCCTAAGCATCTCCCAGGTTTGTGAGGATCTGACGTCTGTAAAGCAGGGTGGCAGGTATGCACTCAGATCCGAGCGGCACTTCACTCTTGTCTGTCTGTTCGTGTCCATCTGTCCTCGCTGTGTTCAGTTAGCAAGCGCATGCACGTGCATCGTCGGTGTCCGACGTAGCGTTCAGTGACTCATCGGTTGGGTGTGACCCTCGGGGCTCATCTCAGCACGTGCCCTCCTCAGTACCCACCACCTGGCAGCCACACCCCCACCCCTACTTCTGACCCTCGGTTTGGTTCCCTAGCAGCACCTTAATAGAAAGCCGAGATGCCCGTGAACAAAGTCTCCTGGCTTTGACCCGAGACGTAGCTGCAGATGGGCAAACCTGAACAGCGGGTCCTGCTCTGGCCGCCACACAGCGCCCTTCCCCACGACCTGCTGCGCCGAGAGGGGCCTGACTGAAGCCAGCCTTTCCTTTCCTCCAGGGAATGGGCCCATCACCCTGCGTGAGTGGGTCCTCGTGGAGGCACTGTTTGTGGCCTGCTAGCCTAGCTGTGGCTGACGGGCTCCATTCCGGTGCCACAGGAGCTCCAGTGGCTTCTGACTGACTGACTTGTGGCTCTCGGTTTCAGGCCCTGGGGACACGGCCCGGGACCTGGGGTCTGGCTCCTCCCTTCCCATCGCAGAGCACTAGCTCCAGGTCACAGATGAGGGCCAGCTTTCGTGGGATTTCCCTCCCTGGTCCTGGCGGAGGTGTCTTGCTGGAGGCAAAGGACAGGGGGACACACGGGATGTGTCCCTTCAACTTTTCCTGCTGACCTCACTCTGGGAGGTGACATTCAGCTTCCTCTCGGCTGGTGGGGGCCTGGGCAGGAGCTGGAGTGATGCCTGTTCCCAGCCAAGGGGAACCCCTTTCCTGCTGCACCTGGTTAGTGGGGCTATCGCAGGGCCTCTTGGCTGGCCGGTGCAGGGGCTGGGCCCTGGCGCCCCCCCGGAGGCCGCATGGGGCAGTCGGAGGCCGCGGGCTTGCATCTGGGGGGTGGGAGCGCGCTCTGGAAGACTCCATCCTTTCTCTCCTGACACTTCTTTCTCACCTGTGCGTCGTGCAGACTCCGTTTATTAATTTTTCCCCTTTGGATCGATCCTTTCTTTTCTTCCTTTGCTCTTAGGAGACTCTGTTTGGTGATTTCCTGGGTCTGTTTTCTTTCTCAGCCTGACGCTCTTCTCCCTCTGTTACTGCGTCTCCCAGACAGGCAGGGCCCTAGTCTGGGTAGAGCACGGGCCAGGCACCTGCCCTGTCGGGAAGTCATGCGTGCTGCCTGGGCAACGCTGAGAAGAACAGGGAGGTGTAAAGGACAGCAGATGTCTCCCCTGTGGAGTCAGGCTCCCCATAGTCTTCGTCTTTTCAAAATTATCATGAAATATTTTAGACGGTAAAATTAGAAATACGAACCACCCGGCGTCCGAATGAACCCGGGCCAGTGTGTTTGCTTCTCCCGTGCCCACACCTCTGCTCCTCTCCAGGGTCTCCACGCTTCTCTTGCAGCACAGCGGGGTGACATGTGTGGACACTGTTGTCCCGGCTCTGCTGGGCGGAAAATGGTTACTGTAGCCTCCGTAGTCCGGGAAGTGCTTGACTGCCGTGGTCCACGCGCGCCGCTGCCACCTCCGCCCCGTTCTCAGCTGTTGCATTATCACTGGCATTCTTGACCCCAAATCTTTGTTTAGAACTTGGGTGATTTCCTCCGTTTAGATCCATTTTAGTGCAGTTTTACTGGGTTCAAGGAGGTGAACATTTATAAGGCCAGAGAATGTTCATTTACATATTTTTAACATTTTGTTTTTTTGTAGTCATCGTGGTTTTGTCTCCGTTTTGAATTAATTCCAAGCGTGGCACAGTTCCCTGTGCCGTCTGCCCGGACTGCAGTGGCCAGCAGGGCCCGCGGGCAGGGCGGGCACGGGCGGTAGCGGCCACGTGTACCCCGCTAGGCGGGAGCGGGGTCTCAGTTCACACTTAAGTACGGGCACTGTTGGGCCTCCGCTGTGTGCTTACGGCTGACTGGCTAGAGGGGACGGTGTGGGATGGAGGCGGCCTCATCTTTGGGCCCGTTTCTGTTGGATTCGAACCCTCCTTCCCTGCCTTCCTTCCGTTTCAGATAGGAGCGAGCGAGCATGAGCCGGCCAGGGGCAGAGAGAGAAGCAGGCTTCCGGCTGAGTGGGGCGTCCAGTGCTGGACTCGATCCCAGGAGGCTGGGATTGTGACCTGAGCTAAAGGCGCTTAAGGCAGACGCTTCACCAACTGCGCCAGCCCCAGACGCCCCTTGAACCCTTTCTTGATTCATCCGTAGTCGTGTGTGACACTCGACCAGACAGAGGCCCTGGGGAAGGAGAAGATAGGAGAACGTGAAAGAAGGGAGATGACGTGCTCGGTCTGGAGAGCTGGTGGGAAAGGAAGTGGGAGATGAAGAAGAAGAGTGTGACCCGCGCCCGCATCGGGGGTGAGGCGGAGCCCCTGCGTGGCGCTCGTGAGCCCTCCCTGTCCCCTGGGGTGCCCGTCCACGCTTGCGGGCACAGCCTGCAGACTTCTGGGCTCCTAGCAGCCTCCTCCCTGACTGAGCACTCGCTTCCGGCTTCAGGGTGGGTGCCGCCGCCCTTGGGCTGGGGCCAGGAGCCGAGAGGGGGTTCGCGTGGGGTGCCGCGGCTGTGCCTGCTCTCTGCCAGGCCGGGGCCTCGAGCTCTGCAGGACGCGGTTTCCCCTTATCCTTAGTGGAAGTGGTTTGGTTTTAGTCTTTTAAATCTATTTTTTCCCAGTTGGTAAGTTGTGTCCTAGTAATGAAAATTGAAGTAACTACCATTTAGCAAGCATTGCCTGTATAAACCGTTTTCCAAGTGCTTCCAGAGGTCAGTCCTCTAACCAGCTCGGGGAGAGAGGTGGGAGGCTGTTCCTCCGCTTCGCAGATGAGGAAGCAGTAGCACAGAGACGCAGAGTGACTCGCCACGGTCACACGGCACTTGCAGGCCTCACAGATACTTGTAAAGTCTCTGTAACTTACTGAGCTGGCGTCCTCCTTTCTTCCCTGAACGAGGGCTGAGGTGAGCGTCTGTGCACGTAGCGGTGACGCCGGCACCCAGGTGGCTTTCCCAACCCATGAGCACCTCAGGGTAGCATTACCGGGTCAGAGAATTCTATTTTACTCTAATTTCTTGATGTTGTTAGATGGTCCTTTGTAGAGCTGCCTACAGTCCGAGTGGGCCTGGTTTCCCAGCACCCTTGCCGGTGCTGCCGCTGCTCATACACGCTAAGAGGCAAATAAGGATCCTCCCTGCTGCCCCTTGACTGGATTTGTGTCTGCTGCTTTGTCCACATCCTGCGGCCGTTTTTGCTCCCCAGATCACACGGCGCTTGGTGAACAAAGGCTGAACTTGTCCTGGGTGTGGTTTGAGGAGGCCCAGTCGATGCCCCCCGACCCCACCCCACCAAGAGTCTGGCCCCCTTGCGTGACAGGGAAGGCGGTGCTCTGCCCGAGCCCACGTGCCAAAGGAGGGGAGGGCTGGACGCTGCCGCCTGGTTTCCGCGGCTAGTCCAGACCCCCTCCCCACCTCCGAGGGGGGAGGCCAGGGCAGCAGAGGGAAGCTAGGGTTTCCCAGGCGAGCTTAGACTCTGCTGGGGAGGGGGCTCAGAGGGGCTGCTCGGGCTGAAGTACGACAGGTATTCCCCCACCTGTCATTTGTGTTTGAACTTGGTGCTGCTGATTTTTGTAATGAAGAAGCTTTTCTTGATACGTGGCCATACCTGTTGAACTTCTCAGTAACGGTTTCTGTCCGTGGCATCGTGCCCAGAGAGGCGCTGGGCTCTGGTACATACCATGTGGTTCGTAAAGTCTCACTGGCTTGTCGGTTTTTAAGTGGCACTTACCTGAGTTTTTGTTTTCAGTCTTTTGTATTAGAGTTCCACTTTGAACCCAACGACTACTTCACCAATGCAGTCCTGACAAAAACGTACAAGATGAAGTCAGAGCCGGATAAGGCCGATCCCTTTTCCTTTGAAGGTCCTGAAATAGTTGATTGTGACGGGTAAGAACGTGCCATTTCAACTTTTTCTGAAACAAAAACAGATGATTTTAGAACTTAGCGAGTAAGAAATTAGGAACAAAGCAAAACGTTTTCAGTTTTCTTAAAATCCCAGTAGACCAAGATTTACGTTAAATAGACTTCTGTGGGGGGTTGTGGCGGCCTGCGCTGGGACACGAGTCATGAGGTCACGTGTCAGGTGGGGGCTGGTGGCCCAGTCTCCACCTCGGATGCAGGACTAGACCCTAGGCTCCTCCGGGACTCTGTCCTCACTGAACCAGTGGAGGACCGCTGTGAGCATTTGCTGAGAGACGGGCGGAGTCCGTGCAGGGCGGTGCGAGGCAGCTGCTTGCTGTGGGAATTGGGGGGCGTTTAAGTGTTTGACTCACGGCGGAGCACCTTGTGATTTCAGGAGCGATCACCAGGGAATGTGGTCTGGAGTTCTTCCCTCTTAGTTTGTTCTTGGTGGTTTGGGAAAGTCTGCTTCTTTGGTTTGGGAAATTATTAGTGAATTGGCATGATTACCCTTGTTCACTGGAACCAAATACTCCTGGATCTCCCGCGGGAGCAATTCAGAGCTTTATCAAAATGATGGCCACGGTGACCCTGACAGCGCATTCCCCAGGGCCGGCGGTCCAGGTGCGTTCCCGAGCAGACTAGTCACGTGCTGCCCAGGGGGTCCTCGTGGGTGCGCAGGCGCTGGGAGGCGAGGAAGCGTGCGGGCTCGCCCCCGGCCCAGCCCACTTGGCAGCCGGGACCCAGTGCGCTCGGCCCCAGTCAGAACTCGGTGCAGCGGTCACCTGCCGCCTCTCCAGCTTGTCCCGCCCGCTCAGCTGCTTGAGAACTCGGGGCTGTGAGTGGGTGACTTCAGGTGTGCTCCAGGGCCTGGACAGAGGCAGCAGGTGACAAGCTCTTGAGCATCCTCTGGGCACCCTAGCCCAGCCTTGACCAGGCTTGGTCATAGCAAATATGCTTGGGGAGGGTCTCGGGAGAAGCCCCCGGCTTCCGATGGTGCTCCCTGCCAGGGGGCGGCGGGGGGGGGGGTGGCAGCCCATGCCACTGGGCCAGTTCCCCTTCGCTGGCCGTCACCTGGACTTGAGAGGTGTGCAGTGCCGGCTGGCAGGCTGGTTGCCTACGTCGTCCACGTTCGGCCTCTCACTGTGCCTTGTTTACTGGGGACGTTCGTGCGTTTCTCTGGGTGTATGTCTGTGTGCAAGATGGCTGTCTGTCCCCATAGGTGTGTTATTGACTGGAAGAAAGGGAAAAACGTGACAGTCAAAACAATCAAGAAGAAGCAGAAACATAAGGGCCGAGGCACAGTGAGAACAATTACCAAACAAGTTCCCAACGACTCCTTTTTCAACTTCTTCAGCCCGCTGAAAGGTGAGTGGGGTGCGTCGTAGACACCGATGACGTGCTTTGTGAAGTCGCATCGTTACCGCGGGGTCTGGTCTGAGTCCTCTGCCGAGCGTGGCCAGTAAGGACACGTTTGCTGTGTCAGGAGCCATGGTGCCGGTGCTCACGGGGTGGGGGAGAGGGGGTAGCAGGAGGGGAAGGCCTGGCGGGCGCTCTGAGCTCCACACTGAGAAAGCTGGACGGATGCCCAGAGCGCCCCAGCCGACGCTTCCACACCTTGGGGCTGTGGCCCTCTGGCGGCCCCGGGGCCACCCGTCCTGCTACAGGCCCCCTCTGTCGCCAGTCGCTGGTTGCAACCCAGGTACGCCTGCACAGCTTGGGGAGAGTCCCCCACCCTCTCTTTCTCATAAATTCTGCTTTATTTTTCTCCGTGACTTGGTAGAACTCAAGGGGTCTTGGGGTTTATAGATCGTGACAACACAAGTAGTTGGATTTCTAGTTTGAAAGACTTAGCTTGGAAACTCCGATTTTTTACTCCCCTAAGTCATAAAATAAAGATGGAAAGTTTGACCTTGTGGAGGGTGAGCAGCAGGTTTCAAGAGTAAATACTGGCGAGTCTTTTTTTTTTTTTCAAGGTTGTATTTGTTAGAGAGAGAACCAGCAGGGAGAAGGGTGGATGGGGGAGAAGCAGGCTCCCTGCTGAGCAAGGAACCCCATGTGGGACTCGATCCCAGGACCCTGGGGCATGACCAGAGCCGAAGGAGACGCTTAATGACTAAGTCCCCCGGGGACCCCAAATACTGGCAGGTCTTTTTCTTTTTCCTCCACCTTTTTTTTTTTTTTTTTTTTTTTTTTTTTTAAGATTTTCTTTATTTATTTGACAGAGATCACAAGCAGGCAGAGAGGCAGGCAGAGAGAGGGGGAAGCAGGCTCCCTGCTGAGCAGAGAGCCCGATGCGGGACTTGATCCCAGAACCCTGAGATCATGACCCAAGCCAAAGGCAGAGGCTTAACCCACTAAGCCACGCAGGCGCCTTAATACTGGCAGGTCTTAACAGAATTTTCTAAACTTGAGAGAATGTAAAGGCCAGACCAGTTCGCAGTGTTAGAGTAGCGCAGATCAAACACTTTTCCTCTTTGTTGTCCATGAACACAAACAGACTGAAATGAAATGTGGAAATGCCGGCCCTGCCTCCGTAATTGGTGGGTGTGTGAGCTGTTTGCCCTCAGCCACAGGGGCGCTCCGCACTCAAGTGTGAGCCTTGGACCCAGACTTTATCTCGGAGCCCAGGGCCCTCGCTTCTCAAGCTCCGCCCCTCAGCCTTGGGCCCGCATCTTTCTGGGGTTTGTCTTTGAGCTTAGGGGATGCACGTGTGTTGGTTCGGGGGTGACAGTAGCCACAGATGGACTTGTTCGGTTTCCTTGTTTTAGACCAGGGAGCCCCTTTGGCAGTCACCTGTGAGCTTTTGCTGTGAAGCAGAGGGGCTTTGGTTCCTGAACGCAGTGGTTTGTTGCAAGGTTTCTTAAGATTGGATTTTAAGTAATTTAATAAAATCAAAATGAGATTAAGTGGACTCACAATTTGGAGGGAGGTGACGTTCGGCATTCTAAAACTTTCCTATGATGGTTGTATAACTCTAAAAATGTCCCAGGGGTCGTTGAATTTTACACGTCAGCTGTCTGGTAGATAAATTACACCTAAACATAGCTATTTTTAAAGGAATTGCACATCGTATCAAGTGATGAGCTCTGTAAACAGGTGTACAGTGACCGTTGGGGGGTGATCAGGCAGGCCAGGAAGAAGTGTCGGAGAGCAGGAAACGTGTTTTGAAATGAGGGAAACAGAAGCTGGCTGGTCCGGTGCCCGCCTCGTCCTTCAGTCTACAAAACATGTCCCAAAGTCACGTGAGCAAAAGTCCTTGACCAGCGTCCCCAGACCCAAATCTTAGTCTGCGGGGGTTGCTCACGTGCCGAGACGCAGGGACCGTGGTGCGGGGTGGTATTGTCACGGGGGTGCCCAGCCCGTGGGGAACAGCCACGCTGGGAGAGGCCTCGAGAGGCAGGATGAGGCCAGTGTTCTGAGCCTCCAGCTCCTGGCAAGACCTGGCCTTGAACAAGCGTCACTCAAGTCCCGGATTTGAGTCCCGTGATCATTCAAGTGTCACTGGCTTTGTTGATTGGTTTTAAGTCCCTGTCTTTCCTCGCCCTTGGCTCTGGGTCGGGCTCTGGCCAGCCGCACACATGCATGTTGGGGTGGGAGGGTGGGGGGTGCTCTGTGGTGGGCAGCGACCAGCAGCCCCCTCCTGCCCACGGGGAGTCTTTCCATTTCGCGGGAGGGACGCTTTGGCACCGTGTGCGCGCCTTCCCCCTTGCCGTGCGGACGCCCGTGGTGTCGCCCCACTGAGTGTGGCGCTTCGGAAGCAAGGCTCGAGGATTGTCCTCTTCCCGACAGTCCTGCAGGGTTGCAGGCCCCGGTACACTTTCCTTAAGGCGTAAATGCACGGGGCGGCCACAGTCTGGGGCTCCTGATGGGCCTTTCCACCTGTTGGCGCTGGGCTAGGATACTCTTCTCCCCAGCTGGCGTTCCCAAGCTGGGCAGGCCAGGGTGGGCGAGGGGGCACAGTCAGGGTGCCGTGGGAGGCACGGGTGCGCCCTATCCCACCTTCACTACACGTGTGGCTGCGCACCGTGTGCCTGCAGAAGCTTTGGTCGTCAGCGTAACCTGCGTGTTTTGTGTTTTCCCGTAGCATCCGGAGACGGAGAGTCCCTGGTAAGTGCTGTGTCGTCCTGAAATCTCTCGTGCTGTCAGACAAACCCTTTATCTCCAGAGCGGGGCCGCCGTCTTCTCAGTCCCTCCTTCCTCCTCCCGGGGACCCGGGGTACCCTGCGTTCACGACACTGCAGCGTGGGGCCGGCGCATGTGGGACCGGGGCGCCCCGCCATCCCCAGCAGTGCTGGGTCCCCCAGACCAAGGGTGCGGGGCGGGGGGCGTGGGGCTCACCCATACACACGAGTTAACGTGGAGGTTTTCTCTTCTCAGGACGAAGACTCGGAGTTCACATTAGCCTCTGACTTTGAAATCGGACACTTCTTCCGTGAGCGGATAGTCCCGCGGGCTGTGCTGTACTTCACGGGGGAGGCCATAGAGGATGACGACAACGTATGTGGATGGGAGCTCCTGGGGGCCTGCCTCCGGCGGTGTGGGGCACCCTGAGCAGCAGCCTGGGGGCCCCCTGGTGTCGGGGGCTGAGGGCCGAGCAAGGGCTTGGGTGCTGTGAGAACGAATTGCCACCCCCATCCAGGGACAGCACCCTTGGAAGGTCCCAGTGCTCACCCTGTCCTGCTGAAGGGCTGTAAGCTTTGGGTGACTTGGAAACGGGAGGAGAATCTCCATTTCAGAGGTCTGGTAGCAGGAAGAGGTTACCCATGGAGCTGACGTCTGCTAGCCTGTGGTGTGCCGGCCCCGAAGACTTGAAACCCGTGGTGCACGGAAGGGCGGCTGGGCTGCGCAGGCCCCTCTCTCCCCCTCCCCTGCTGGAGCACAGCCTCGCCAGCAGTCCTCTGACGGTCACCTGAGGTTGTTCTTCGTCCTAACCGAGGCTCAGCTTGCTGTGTCGTCTGGATTTGTGGGAATAAAGTTTGGGTTTCTAGTGGGCTGCTAGTAGTATGTTTCAGATAATGGTTCCCTTGCTCTGAGAACGTGTGTTTCCTGGAAGGTTCTGGGTTCTCTAAGTGGTCTGTCGGGGCTTCAGGTGGGCAGCAGGAGCCGGGCAGGTCGGAGCAGCTTAGGGCCAGAGGCAGTGAAGGGCTGCTTCTCACGGTCTCCGTGCTGGCGGTCCCAGCCGGGGGGCGCGGCCTGTCCAGTGCGCGCTGTGTAGTCTGAGACTTGCTCACTCCGAAAAGGCCGTTCGTCCGTCCCTGCGCTGGGAGGTGGTTGTGGGTAGCAGAACACGCAGGCACACAAGTCCGTGTGGTGTGGGCTTATCCAAGCGCTCGAGTGTTTGCTAGGGCTTAAGGTGACACAGCAGTCTGCAGACCAGCACAGTCCGTGGAACGTTCTAGACACTAGAGCTGTCTGTGGCCTGCCTGCTCTGCCAGTGTGGTGGAACTGGCCCCACGGGAGGCCCGAGGATGTGGAATGGGTCCGTTAGCAGCTGGGGAACCACATGTTCCATTTTACGTAGCGTAGCCCGCAGAGTCTGGGGACCACACACTGAAGAGCCATCTCTAGCCCAGTGGTCTCCGCGCTTTGTTGATCACACACCCGTCAGTTCTTAAAGCACGGGACGCGACTTAGTGTTTCTCTTTACGTAAGATACAGGCCGCGCGGCTGGTCCGGGTGAGTGGTGCACGGCTCTGCTGGTCTGTGCACGCCTGCGCCCCCGGCTCCTCTGGTGCTGGTGCTGGTGCTGCTGCTGAGCCGTGTGGTTGTGGGGGGCGCCCCACCCGGGCCTGCTGGGCTCGGGGTCCTGGCTTCTCCATTCACGGCCGTAGAGCCTCTGTGCTGTGGCGTCCTCATCTGAACATGGGATTGAAGGTCGTGATTTTGGTGGCTCGTCAGGCTCTTGGAAGAACCCCTGTTGGCACTGTGACTCACGTTGGGATAAAGATGGGTTTGCAGGGGTCCGATCTGTTGGCGGCCTTGCACACACACTGGACGTCGGTGCGGGAGGGATGGATGCAGGAGCGCTGGTTTTGTCTTCCATGTGTTCCATGGGCGCTGTACCCCACTTTGTTACCCCTGCTCTACATCTGTGTGAGATGTGTTTGCTGCAGGGCCCTGCAGGTCCCATCAGGTCCAGAGCAAAGTGATCTGAGAACCTCAGAAAATCCGTGCTTGAGTCTGTTTGAGGCTAGTTCCAATCTGAGCTAAGATGTGATTGGCTACAAGACCTCAAACCTCGGTCTTCCCCTGTTAGAGGCTGGTAAGGGCACCAGGGCGTGCTTGGACCCCTGACGGCCCAGCTGGTGCGGGAGGACGCGCAGCCTGGGCCCCGCCAGCCCGCGGGCCCTCACAAGTTCGTGTGAGCTGTCACTGAGGAATATGTGTGGGCTCCAACAAAAGAAATGCTCTTAAGGAACAGCCTACTTAATTTTTAGGTGTTTTGTGTCACGCAGGACGTAGTGATGAGGTGTGCTTTGTTTTGTGTTTGGTCTTGATCTGAGTTTGACATGGGGAGTTTGGGCGGGAGTCTGACCTAGAAGAAATTTATTCAAGACCAGTCAACTGTAGTGTTGGGCCTTTCTCCTATACACTTAAACATCGAGGTTTTTTTCATATTTCTAATATGTAAATATTTAACCTCGTATGAGTTAAAAAAATACCAGTAAAACTCATGGATTTGCATAGTAAAATCATGTTCCTGGTTTGCCTACATCAGCCAGTTTCCCGGGTGATCCCGGTCCCTTCTCACGCTGACCATCTCCTTTCTGCACCCTTGCCCACCCTCGGGCCTTGTTTGAGTGCTTTTCAGATACCGGCATCCTGTCAGCACAGCGGGGCCGGCCAGCGAACAGGTGGGCCCGCCTCGCTGGCCAGAGCCCGGCCCACAGTGTCGGGGCTGAGGTGCCCAGTCGCAGACCGTGCCCCCCGAGGCGGGCGCTGCCCTCTGTCCAGATGCCAGGCTGCTCTTCCGCTTCCCCCAGACCTGACCAGTGTGGGGTGCTTGACGGGGACCGTGCCTGGGTCAGGCCACCCTCATGCTTTCGAGACCTAAATTTTGTTTCCTTTTTCCTTTTTCAGTTTGAAGAGGGTGAGGAAGGAGAAGAGGAGGTAAGACATGGCGAACGCGGAGAGTCCTTTCCCTCAGGCTTCGCTGGGCTGCTTCCTCTGCTGGAGCGGACGGGGGTTTTGGAAGCAGCTGTCACACCCGCTTTGTGTGGAGCTGCCGCGGGGCCTCCAGCCCGTTGAAGCTGGGCGCAGCGGGGACACGCAGTCGCTGTCCCTGTGTCCAGTTGCCCCGCGATTAGCTTATTAGGACATGTGGGGTGGGCACACAAGTCACATTCTCCGCGGTGTGTTTATCTGTTATCGCTGCCAACAAAAAGGTGTTCCGAAGTCCTCCTGCCCAGAGGTGACGAAATCGCTCGCGGGCAGGGGTTGATGACCTCCCGCTGGGTCCTGGGCGGCTGCGTTTGTGTGGGGCGCGCGGGCCCACGAGAGATTAGATCCTGTGTGCTCCGCTCACTCTCCCCCTTTTACGCAGGAGTTGGAAGGTGACGAGGAGGGAGAAGATGAGGACGACGCCGACATGAACCCCAAGGTCAGTTGTTGGGGGGCCACCAGACCAGGGAATGGCGTGCTGCTATGACATTGGGCCGCATCCCCACCCAGGGGGGCGCCTGTCCTGCTCCAGTCAACACAGAGAACACACCAGGAACAGGTTTGAGCGGCCCCTTGTGCGGGGTTTAGCGCTCAGCGCGGAGCGTCCGGGGAGGGCTTTTCCAGCTCGCTGTCAGCGCTCTCTTGCCATGAGCTCGCCTGGGAGAGCAGCTTGGTTTGCCAGACCTGCCGTCCTTTCAGGGGACCGGCTGAGTGACAACGTGAATAAGCTGTTCTTGTGTTCATTTTTGGAAAAGGTGCAGAGAAGGAAATTTTGAAAGTTATTTTTTTTTTTAAAGGATAGAGTCATAAAATTGTAGACGTAGTTTTACAATTGCGTTTGGGCTGAGAATAATCAGAAGCTACGTGTAAACATCTCCAGGCATCGAAAGTCTGCCGGGAAGCTTTAAAAAAAAAAAAAAAAAAAAAAGACAACAAAGCTGAGGAGAGCCGGCAACCCCGTTAACTTTACCTGAAGGGCTGGATGCTCACTGCTGGCACATGAGCTGGAGGGACGGCACTGCCACTTGGCGCACCCCTTCAACCTGGAGCTGCTTTAGTGCAGGCCTGGGTGCGGGCCGGCCGTCCTCTCGCTGGCGAGCAGGAAGCCAGTGGGTAGCTCACTGCGTCCTCACAGGCCGTCCGAGCACTAACCTTGCCATTTGTGACCCGGATCTCCGGTGGACTGGGCGGTGTTTGTTCGTTTGTCCGTCCTCTGTTTTTGCCCAAAGTGAAATGTGCGCTCAGTGTCCATGTGATAGCCCAGCGCTCTGAGTGGTTGTGGACTTGTTTCTGTCGCAGACGCCAGGTGTTTCCGTGGATGCATGCTTTACGGTGCAGCTTCTCGGGAAGGGTGGGAGGTGGGTTTCAGACATTTTTCCATGTACCACGTAAATACTAGGCTGGGACTGCGCTCACGGGAGTGCTCACCTCTGCACACTCGGCCTGTCGAGCGGGGGCAGGGGGCGGGGCTCATGGGCGGGGCTGCTGTCACCTGCGTGTCTGCCTGTCTTTCTGCCTTTTGGGTGCTGCCGTGCACACTCACGGTTTGGATTCGCAAGCAGAGACGGAGGGCGGTTTGCAGTGGGGGCTCCATGACTCCATCACTTGTCACTTCCTTCTGTGGTTTGTCCTTTTCTGTCTCCTGCCACGTCTGCTTTCCGGAAGCGCCTTTCCTCACGAGTCAGCCGGTACCGTGGGGGGTTGTCAGGACTGGTGCTCCCTGGTCTCCGCGTGTGCGTGTGCTGTCGGTTGGGGGAGGTGAGGGTCCCTGGTGGGAGGCGCTGGGACTGCCAGCCCTGCGCAGCCAGGAGGGCCCGAGGCTTGTCCTTTGGGGGCTGGTCACGTCCGAGTCTGCACATGGGCAGACGAGGGAGGAGGGTGTTGTGGTGTTAAATGTACAGATGTGGCGGGTCGGGGTTGCTCATCTCAGGCTCGAGGCCTTGTAGCCCTTTGTGTCATGAGAAAGCGGCTGTTTCCGCCTGTATGATTTTGTGTATTTTGTTTTCTTTTATGCTGACACTTCCTTTCAATTTTTTCCCCATTTAGGTGTAATTTTTGTCTGTTATTCATGCATTTTTTAGGTAAGGTGGAATTCCATTCATTCCTAATCCAATCTCCTGATCTGTGCTTGATAACAGTGCCTCATTGTGACTTTGTGGATAGAGGGGAGGCTGCTGGCCGGGCACACTGGGCGCGCGCAGGGCTGAGCACAGCGCGTTCAGAAGAGCAGAGCGCGCAGGCGTCCGTTGGGTGAGCTTCTGAAACTGGCTGTGAGAAACCACATCCGGCTCCTCGCTGAGCCCACTGTTCGCTGCTGACCAAGTCACAGGCGTGACTGGTGTGGCATTTCTCTTGTGGGCGGGCCTGTCCGCCAGGAAGAGCACAGGGCGCAGGGCCCCGGGAAGTGAGCACCAGGCCTCGGGAAGCCCATGTTCGCGCTGGCTGCACCCCGCGTGGTGGGAAGCAGCTGCTGTGCTCTGTCAGTTGTTTCTACTTAAATTCAGGTGGGGTGCAGACCGTCGGTCATAGAGGGCCACCTGAACTTGGAATGTGCTGGTGTTAATAGCCCCTGTGGCGTGGGCTGTTGCGTCTCTGTTCCAGCCATCTGTTCCCTCCCTTGTGGGACACGGTCCTCCCAGGGGCAGAGCGGGGGGCAGTGGTCCGTAGATGCTCCGGGAGGCAGGTGCCGTGATGGTCACCCCTGGGAAGTGGCCGGGGGGCCCGGGGCTGGTGCCGAGGAGCCGCTGTCCGTGTGGGGAGCAGGGCCTGTGAGCCAGAGCTCTGTGCCGCAGCGGCATGCCGGCACCGACGGCCATGAAGACCACGGGCCTCTGAGAGTCTCCGCGAGGCCTTCCTGTCCCGCTCCCACGGGCTCGCTCTCAAAACTGAGCAGAAGCGCACTCACCTCCTGGCAAGGCAACGTGGTAACGAGGGGAGGTGATCGTAGGCCACAGGTCCTGTGTGTTGAAGGGGACGGGTCTGATCACTGACGTGGACAGAACAGCGTGTTCCGTTGCCCTTATTTCCTGCCGCCCCACTTATCTGAACAACGTCCTCCCCCAAGATCTGATCCCCCCCCCCCCACCAGTCATGGAAGGCATCCCTTACCTGTTCAGCCTGTCTCTGGGTCAGGGGGACCCTCCTGTGGCATAGCCACCGGGCTGCCCCAGGCCGGCAGCCGCTCTGCTGCAGGGGCCCTGCCCTCTGCCGTCCCGCAGGCTCTTGGGCCCCGGCTGTGGGCCCCTGGGAAGCTCTAGGGGCCAGCCGTGTGCACGGTGGCTTATTTCCCCCCGTTCTGTTACAACACGGCTTTGCAGTGGCTCCCTGACGTGCAGGATTTGGGCTGTTCGTTTGTGCCTTGGGAACACCGGACTCCTCTCCCGTGATAATCAGGGCATCGGATGACCAGGCTGCCATCGGACTTTGTGGCCTGAGACCGAGGATGCAGGGTTTCGTTGTCGTCCTGTCTCGGCCTGTGTCACAGGCTGAAACCCAGCGGTGTCTCGTTGATAAAATTCACATCGGAAGCTTTGGGATTCTCTGTTGACTTTACAGCCTAGGACAGGTGTCCATGTGGACGCTGTCCCCAGAGGTGGGGCCGCCTGCCTGCCAGGGGAGTGTCAGCGGAGCCCGTCACCTCCGGCTTTGTCCCCAGCTACTGAATGTGTTTTACACGGAAGGATAATACGTTTTCCTGGTTAACAGTAAGCATCTGCAAGGACGCGCAGCGCACTGTAAATTGTGTCGAGCCTGCTGTGGCGGAGCGCTGCCCGTGTCCCACGCGTCCTACACAGAAGGGCAGAGCAGGAGGAGTCCCTCCCAGGCTGGGCCCCCGCCCTGTTCCTGCCACATCGCCCTGCAGGGCCACTTCCTTAGCTCCGTCTCCTCTAAGCTGCCTCCTTCCTGCAAACGCAATTGTGGGGACACGCGCGCTTCTCCCTTCACCCTTCGAAAGCCGCCTGCCCTCCCCGCACGCTGCGCTCTGGCCACGTGGAGCCCGGTGTGCCTCCCGCTTCCCCGGCCACTCCTGACAGCCGGGGCTGCCTGCAGATGCACAGTCCGATTTTGATCTTTTCCCGCCTGGATTTCTGGTCAGATGTGTTTCGTTTGGGGGCCGGGGTTCGTTCTCTAGCAGAATTTCAGACGCGCATGTGATGCCCAGGCCAGGAACCCCTCCCAGGGTGGCCTCTTCGTTGCCGGGCCGAGACCTGGGGCATCCTGGCCGCATCCCTGCGCTTTTTCCATGAGACTTTCTTAGACTCAGGCCCAAGGTCATGGTTTTGTCTTTCTCACGTCTCAACACGTGATTTTTTTCATGTCGCAAGTGTGACTTCTCGGAGAACGGAATCCCAGTTTCAGCCATAGAACATTCATCATCTCCCTGTTTGTGGGGTGTTGTTTTTTTTAAGACTCCATGGGCTTGGCAGATTGTACGAAAGTGATTTGTAATCTTGGCAGCCACGAATTAGAGGCCGCTGATGAGTGCGTGTATTTGCCCGGAATGGTGGCTGATCTGGTGGCCTGGGTCTCAGGCTGCGAGGCCGGCCTCCCCACAGACCGCGTGGGCCTGCCGCATGTGCTCCGAACGCTGAGAGCGGTGCTCGACTATCCTGACGGGGACGTGCTTCTCTGCCGGGGGGGCCTGGTTTCTCGCTGCTGCCTTTCTGGAAGGCTAGAATTCCCACTTGGGGAGGGGCCTGGGAGGACCGAGGCTGTGTGTGGAGCTGTTGGTGTGGCCTCCTGGCTGTGGGCTGCTGCGGGGGCTGGAGGAGCTACTCGGCCGCCTCGGCCCACCGCGGAGTGGCACCTTTTCATTTCAGGTGCTGAGCCTGCCTTGAGGCAGGGGACGGAAAGGGGAGCCGGCTGGTGTGTCGCGTGGGCAGAGTCGGGGGGCTTGCCTGAGACGCCGAGGCTGCCATGTCGCGTTGGAGTGTGGCTCCCCTGACAGTGATGCGTGTCCATGACCCTGAGGCGCCCCTCCTTCCCGGTGCCTGGGCCATGACTTACACTCCGGGCTTGTCTCCCAACGAGAAGGGCAGCCCCGGTGAGACTGTTTCTGGGAAGTTGGCTGCTGTTTTGTTACTGCCCTAGAAGTACGTCTGCGGTAACCGTTTTCTCAGTAAGAACGAAGGTGGTAAATCGAGTCTTGGCTTGCGCTGTTGGTTGGAGGTAACGGGTTGAGGACACCAGTTTCCTAAAGTCCTGTCTTCTCTCGTTGACAGAAGGAGCCCAGCCAGCCCTCGGAGTGCAAACAGCAGTGAGGAGCGAGCGCCCCCCGGCGGTAGCGGCGGGACTTGTCGCGGCGGCCCCAGCACTGTAGCGGCGGTGCTTTCTTCTAACTTGTTTTCAAGTGCATGATTTTGACTTTAACTTTTCCTTTATCCTTATTATTTTGCTTAACCTGTACAGTGGCAGCTTAAATGCATTTCAGAAATAGGAGGTTTGATTCCAGCACCCTCTGTGGCCTTGGGTGCAGCCCAGTGGACTTTCCCAGGCCCTGCCTCCAGGAGGGCCCCACAGACCCCGGGGGAAGGGGGTGGCGGAAGGTCAGGCGATGCCAAGAGCAGATGTCTGGCGGGGGGGGGTGGTTCCGGGGCCTCTAGAACCAGTCACGCCCCTCCGCGGTCGGACTGGATTCTTCTTCCCTTGAAGAAACCTGCGCGCTCTGTGTCTCCACCTCTCGGTCTCCTGTGCTCTAGCAGTCTCAGAAGAGCTGCTGGGCGTTGGGTCCTGTTCTCCGCAGATCACTCCGTCTCTGGTTCTGTGTCCCTCGGGGTGCGGCCGGGGCGGCGATGTGCCCCAGCCCTGAGGCACGAGTGTTTGTGGTTCATCCTCATATTTATTTATTCTTTCCTGCTGGTGAGGGCTTGGGACGCTTGCTGTCACTTGTCCTTACACTCTCAGGAACCATGTGTGTGACGGGTGACCTGGCGACTCGCCCGGCGGGGGTGGTGGTGGCTCCCAGGGGAGCAAGGCCTGTGGAGAAGGAACCTCTTTCTGTCCTGCCTGCGGCTGAGGGCGGGAGCCCGTTTTCATGACACACAGACCGCCTGGCTCTGGGGGGCGGCAGGCCTGCAGGTGCAGGTGAGGGGCCGGGGCTGGGACGTGCTGCTGTCCTCCTAGCGTGTCCATGTCAAGTCTTGCTTTGCACTGCCCCCACGTCTTGGCCCCGTGCTCGTCTTGTTCTAAAGCCCTGGGTTCAGAGCGACCTGTTCTTGGCTGGCGTGTGGGGTTTCTGAGTGTGCGACCATGGTCTCTGGCAGCCGGGGACGTGTGTCCACACTGTGACCAGGCCTGTAGAGTGCTCGGCCTTACTTCTAATAACATTTGTAACTGAATACGGTGTTTTCAATTTGTACAGAATAGTTAGAATATTCTATTAAAGTTGTGAAACATGGAGCCAGCTCTGTGCACAGTCTCTCTGTGGGAGGAGTGGGGGTGGGGCGCGGCCCCTGCCCACTCCGGCAGCTCTCGACCGTGGCTGTGCGGCCTCCTGAGCCCTGCAGATGGGCAGGCCCGGACTGGAGGCCTCTGCTCTTCCGCGTCAGCCGGTTCTCCGGAGAGGACTGCGTTTAGTTTGCCCCTGAGGCCTGCAGACCCACTTCACAGTCTGGGTGGACTCGGGGTCCCCCCCAGGAGTACACCATTTCTCTCGAGAGTTTGTGGGGCTGTACCTTTCAGATCCGGAAGGTTCCAGGAGGGAAAGTTCCTGCATAAAGCCCACTTCTGTCTGTCTTCTCACTGGTACATTCCCAGTGGAACCTCCGTTCCTTCCTGAGAGGGAGCGCTCCCCCCAGAGACGGGTGTCGCACGAGCCCTTGCTCAGCGCATGCCCGGGGGAGTGCAGCTGCCCAGCGAGGGTAAGCACACAGCCGCGCCTCCCACGGGCCAGCTGCCGGTGCCCAGCTCACCCTGAGCCTGTCTAGGGGCCTGGCTTGTCCCTGGGAGGGGCCACATGAAGGAGCGGGAGCTGCTGCCCAAGGGTTCGGAACAGCCGGGCTTCCAGTGTGCCCCAGACAGCTAGAACCAGAACATTCTCAGTTCTTGAAGTACCCGGCCCCCCACGCCCTACCCAAGAAGCCGGCGGGTGCCGGAGGTGCCTTGTTCCCGCTGACACGGGATGAGAACCCCATCCCCCGAGGGCGGTCGGCAGAGAGGACACGTGAGCACAGGGAGCACCTCTTGAGGGTGGGCCCCCGGACCTCCGAGGCAGCTTCTCATCCCTGTGGACCCTGACTGGCCAGGGCTCCCCAAGTTCTCCACATGTCCTGTTGTCCTGGAGCATCCAGAGTGCCAGCAGGGATGACGCACAGTGCTGTGCTCGGTGATGGTGGCGTGTTGGCAGGGACGGCTTCAGCTCTGGGAGCACCCGTCCTGCTGGCCCAGGGGTCACTGAGCATGACCTTTCCGGGGGATCCTCTCCCGCCGGCTCCTGAGCCTCCGCGGTGGGTGACGGAGGCGCCTTCACGGCAGCAACAGCACTGCTCGGCCTGGAGGCTGCGGGGCCTCACCGAAGAGATGCGGGGCACGTGGGATGAGTGCCCTCGGATCGGCGCAGCGCGGGCTGGTGCGGTGCTGGGGGCCCCAGGGGCCGGGCTCTGGTGGAGCCCCCTCCGCCCAGCGGCTCCTAGGGATTCTCCGAAAGTCGACATGCGTTGCCTGGGCTGGAGTCCACGCCACACGCGTACGTAGGGCGCCTGGCCGGCGTGTGCTGCAGTGGCGTGGGACGGCGGGGCTGGGGGCAGCCTGTGCCTTTCCTCGGAGACTGGCCGAGTACGTGCCACCGGCCCGTGGCGGACGTGGGCTGTGCCTGAGAGTGTGGTCCTGAGGAGCCGCCAACGGGCAGCCCTGTGTGGACTCTCATCCGCGGCGGCTCCCTTTAGAGTCTGGCGAGAGCAGCCGGCCGCCTGGGCTCCGTGGGAGCGGCGGCTGGGCTTGCTGGCTCTCCGCGGCGACCTGCACGGTGCGGGCAGAGCAGGCGTGTTTTCTCGTCGGACCAGCCCGGACGGACGGTGGGAGGGGTGTCTGGATGGTGGCTGTCTCTGGAGGCCCTGGGTCTTGTTTCTCTGCGGGAGAACAAGAGTGTGAGTGTGTCACCACCACCCCCGTGTGGCTTCCATCATGGAGCTCAGTCCCTGGGGCCTGCAGGGCCTCAGCCTGGCGTATCTGGATGGCAAGACTCCAGCTCGAAGCCCTGAGAAGCTGTGCCTTCCCCCACCATCCCTTGTGGCACTGCCTCCTGTCACAGCTCGGCCTGTCCGCAGAGCTGTCCCCTGGCCAAGGAGCCTGGCATCCGTCCTCCATCCGGGCCTCTGCTGGCAGCCCAGGGAGACTGCCGGAGGCTCTGTGGGGTCGTTCAGGCCTTGCTGCTTGCGCCGGAGAGGCCCAGAGCCGCCAGGAGCCAGTGGGGAAGGGGGCACTTGCAGCGGCTGTTCTGGGCGATTGCTGGCTCTGCATGGGTCAGGCCTCTGTGCCCACTGACCCCCTGAGTTGCCTGGAGCCACCTTTGCGTCCCCCTTCTGGGCTGGGCCACCACGATGCTTTTCAGAGGGTTCCAATGACCGTCCAGGGCCACCTTTCATCCCCATGGGCTCTGCGGCCCGCACTCTCCTTTCCTCTGCACTCCCTCCTTAAACTAACTGCCCTGCACGAGACTGGGCCCAGCTGCCAGGCCTGTCCTCGCTGGTTTGCCCGCCTCTGCGCCCTAACCTGTGCGGGCGGCTCGGTGCCAGCGGAGTGCAGGGCGCACGCCCAAAGTGGAAGGGTCCCAGCCTTGGCTGGGGGAAGCCAGATACAAAGAAGGGCCTGCAGACTACTCATTGTTGTGGCTTCTGGAGGCTGTGGGATGGCCGGGGCCGCGGCGGCAGGGTGACCAGGACACCCCCGGGGAGACAGGGACTCTGGGAACTGCTTCACTTGGGAGTGTCTGGTTGTATATGTGTAAACTCTGCCTCAGTGAAGCTACTTTCTCAGCAATGCCCCCGAGTTGGGGTCAATCCACTTAAAATTCTGGTTTTCCTCTGGGTAAGTTAGGAACCGTGGCCACCCAGGGCCAGGTGGGTGGCAGAGGTCACCCACACCTCGTCTACACCTGTGGCAGGTGGCTCTGTGTGTCCACATCGTCCCTCATCTGCAGCGCCTGCCCCACACCCAGCTAGTGGCCAGCAATCCCACTCCCCTGAGTGCCAGCCCGAGTCAGCCCTGTGGCTTGTGCTCCCAGAGAGCGCCCGGGCCCGGGGAGGTGAGGCCCAGACGTCAGCCGGCCTGTCTCGGTCGATCTGCCGGTCTCTGGCCCACTCTGCTCAGGGGTCTTCCCTGTCTCCTCTGCCCCCGAGTGCGCAGTGGGTGATGGGGAGCAACACAGGGTCACTGCAGAGGAGAGCCTAGGGCAACAGTGGGAGACGTGCCCTCTGATCTGACCCTTCGCTGCACAGCCCAGGAAGGGCTCCGCCCGAGAGCACTGTGCCTGGCGTGGGCCACCCTCGGCTCTGTGCCAGCCTCGCCCTTAGCCACAGCTGATTTGGCCCCTGCCTTGACACTCAAGCGGAGGAACTGGCCGCCTTTCTCTACAGACAGGCACACCCTCTGCTCCAGCCGCCAAGCACAGCCTGTCGGTGGGGGAGCCCCAGGCACCCCAGACTGTTACCGGGCCTCCCACCCACCAGGAGATGCTGGCAGGCAGTAGCCCCCAGTGCCAGGGGCTCCAGGACCCTCAGCTGACCCCAGCTGGACTTTCCATTCTTCTGAATTTAGTGTGATCCTCCTCGTTGGCCAGGGACCCCCCTCACCACCAGAGGCCACAGTGGTGGGTGAAGCCTACATTCCCAGGTGGGTGAGGCCTAGACACCTCGAGGCCAAGTCACCTTGGTGCACCAGGGCGGAGCCCCTGTCCACCTCCAGGATGTCACCATGGTGCCACTCAAGGGGCCAGCAGGGCTCAGCTGACTCAGCTCAGGGAGGGTGGCGGCCGGATGTTCCTTTCCCTGACAGCCCAGCAGGCTTGCCTGGCCCAGCTGGGCTTCTGTAGGCCCTGGAGACATGGGGTGCCCCTTCCCACACACGGGCCGGGGACTTCCCGAAGCCCAGGAATGTCAGTGAAGCTCCCTGGGTCTCAGCTTCTGCTTCTGGAACACGGGGAGAACCCTCCCTCCCAGGCACAGGCCAGAGACCTCAGGAGAGAAAGCCCAGGGCACATGGCTGCAGCCGCCTCCCTTCCCAAAGCCATGGTCCAGGCAGAGCCGCCCACGTGGGTCCTCCCCATTGCCTGCCAGTGTGGAGCCAGGCGGGGCGTGGGGGGGGGTGTGCTTGGGGACGGGAAGGCCTCTGGGACACAGGCCAGCAGGGAGGCCATTGGGTCCCTACCTGACCCCATTTCTGGCAGGGGCTGGAAGTTCCCAGGAGAGCTCCCGTCCTGGAGAGAGGAGCGCCGAGCAGAGGAGGGGGCTGGGAGGTGCTCCCCCCAGCACAGCCCTGGGAGGAGGACAGGGGGGACCCGCAGCAGCTCTGGGAAGTGTGGGGCTGGGGTTCACGGTTAGGCTTCTGGCCTCCAGATCTGGGAGGGGATCGATGTGTGTTGTTCCTGGCCGTGGGATGTGTGGTGCTGTCCCCATAGCCCAGGACACTCACGAAGGTGGTCGCTGGCGTCCGGGTAAGGCGCTCAGAGTTGGGGGTGGCAGCGGGGGTGGGAGGATGGGTGGGGCCTGGAGGGAGTGCCATCGGAGTGGCGGGCGCTGTTTGGAGTGGTTGCTGGGGGACCCTGAGGAACCTGGGCCAGGACACCCAGCCCCTCAGGCACTCGGGAGTGGGGAGCCAGGGTGGGGCCTGGTGACAGCAGGGCCACATGCAGAGAGCTTTGAGACTTCGGTGCCCACAGGCTGCTGGTGCAGAGGAAGCGGCGAGGAGTCCCCACCCGAAAGAGGGGCACCTCCGTCTCCCACGGGTCCTCGACCGCTCAGCCCCCACGTCCACCTGCACCGGGCAGCATTTCTGACTTCAGAGCTGCGCAGAGCACGCTGAACTCTCCCTGGTCCTCGCCTGGGGAAGGCCCGGTGCTGCGGAGAACTCCTGCACATCCTTGCAAAGCCAGCGCGGAAGTCCCCAGTGGTCTCTGGAAAGCCTTGACCTCATCAGCCAGAGCCAGCTCATGCCCCCACTCTGCTGGACCGTCTCTGCCACCAGACGGCGTGACGGGCCGAGGCCGGCAGCCCGTCGCGGGGCTGAGGCCTGTGCTAGAGTCGGCGTGGGGAATTGGAACAAAGGAACAAAGGAGGGTTCTGAGACCAGAAGTGGAAATCCAGGGGTCTGGCAGCACTGGGGGAGGGTCCTTCCTGCTGCTCCTGCTGCTGCTGGGGGCCCCGGTGTCCCTGGGCTGTGGCCCCTCCTCCCTCTCTCGGAAGGAC